TCTTTTCTGGCACAGTAGGTCGGGGGTGGGGATTTTTCCTAATTACGTTATACTGAGGGGGACTTTGTTTAGGCAGGCAGGTCACATTTTAGTAAAAGAATTACACCACCAACATTCTAAAAATTAAATTTATACACACTCTCTTGACTCTCTATTCGTTTCCTTCCTCAGTCTCCATTGCTTTATTTGTTTAGTTGGTTTGTTAGGCAGGCAGTAGAAAATGAAGGGATTTCTTCAGGGGCAATCCAAGGGGAAGAAGGCTGTGAAGCTACGCAGGCTAGGTAGCAGCACCATCATCACAACCACCATGTGCACAACCACGTCTACGATAACCAGTGCCACTGTCCCTCCTCCGGTGGCCTTGCAGGCAGGCATGGAACCAAAGCTTCCAGAGGTGCCAAAAGAACTGCTGCTCCTCTTCCTAGAGGAATCTGAGGGGTTACTGGTTTCCAAAGATCCCCAGTCCAATTTGGAACCAGTAATGGCAGGGCAGGCTTCACAGCCCCCCCCGTCCCCAGAGTCATCTTTTCCCTCAGTGACCGATGGGGCCAAAAGACCCTGTTTTCCTGCTGCCAACTTTCTCAGTGCCCAACGGAGCCAAAAAGCCTGCTGTGCTGCCAAATACCTCCTTGCCTCCAAATACCGCCTTGCCTCCTGAGGGCAAACTCTACTTCACTGGCAAATGTAATGTGCTGAGTTGAAGATAAACTCGATGCCTAATGCATGCCCCTGCATTCTCCTGGGGCTAAATATAACTCCCTCAATGCCATGGGCTTCTGTGCCGTGTGGTAAACTCTCCTGGGGGGACCCAATTTGTGGGTGAATAATTTGGAGTTCTGATATCCAATCTTCAGGCATGTTGGGGAAAGACATGGGAAGCTCCGTTGTGATTCTGGAGTCTCTGAGTACCTGGGGGGAGCTTTCCTGGGGGGTCTTCTTTGTAACTACGTATATAACTCGGGGATCAGTGATCCAATGTTCACCATACTTTCAGGAGTTGTAGAAATCCATCTGAGGAAGCTTTCCTGCACATCTGGTGTCTCTAGGTCATCAGAGGCCAGTGTTATAGCCATTTCAAGTGCAGATGAAATGACAGATCGATTCATCGATTCGTCGAAGAATATTCCTATATTTGTCTTCATTAACCTTGATGAATAATGGATCAAAATGAATCACCATTTTTTTATTCGTCCCCATGTCTAGTTTCAACCTAATAAGAAAGAAGTCAAGTTGCCATGACCCCACATCCAGATAACCTCATGTGAATGACTGAGAATCTTCATGAATGTTGTTACTCCCTCCATCCCCTTTAATAAAATAAATACGGTACACTTTAATCAGGAGTGAGAAGCATTTATTTCAAATATAGGTTCAAAAGTCAAAAGCGCTAGACAAAATGGTGATCATCATCATCATCAAGAAATGGTAGCTGTGAGAGGTTTTCCTTTTTGTTTCATTTTGTTTTTGGGTCAAGCACTGTATGCTCTCTTCTGAGCTTAGACTGTTTGGGGAATTTCCCATAGAGAAAAAAAATGATACAGAACTATCCAATCTGAGGGAAGGAATTTCTCTGTAGGGAGCATTTAATTCTTCTTAAAGGATTAATGGCTGTTTTGACCTTTTGCAATGGTATTGTCACAGAAGTAAAAAAGCAACTGTCATGGGAAGGAACTTTTAGATGAAAGGGGCAAATTTTAAATGCCACCCAAAGTGTATCTAATGAAAGTTCCAAGCTCTGTTCCAGAAATCTAGTGCAGAATGTAAGGCTTGAAGCCAGTGTTTTGGCTGATAAATCCCAGCACAGAATCCATCCCCCAACTGCCTAATTAGCTGACTGTGCGAGCATTTCTGTTCCTCTTCTTGCCCTCTGCTCATCCATCTTTTCCCCCTACCCATCTTCTCTACAGGGCACATCTCTCTTTTATGTGTGCTGCCCATCAGTCCCCTGTTCCACCCACATATGCCCTGCAAATCTCTCTCACTCCTCTCATATAGGCACACATTATATCTATTTATTTATTTTACCCCGCCCCTCTAGACAATGTCAATTCGGGGCGGCTTACATAGAAAAAAACACAACAGTATATCATGTATAAAATCATTCGAAGTACAGTTATAACAATAAGTTGCAAACAACACAACTTGCAAGTTGTTTTGTTTTCTGTCTCCTGTTGCCATTGCTATCTCCTTTCTGTCTTTTCTTTTCCATGGATGAGCTATGGGTTTTTTTTTGTTGTTTTTTTTTGTGGTGGGTGAATGCAGGGATGGGGACTTGAGTTGTCAAGTGGGACTTAAGTCACACCAGTGATTTGACTCAGACTTGACTCTGTTTTTTTTTCGGGACTTAAGTCACACCAGTGATTTGACTCCGACTTGACTCTTTTTTTCCAATGACTTGGAACCCACCCACCCCTCCCTTTTTCCTGGGGGGAAAAAGCTTGCTTTTAGTAGGGACTTGGGATTCAGGACTTGGTACCAAAGACTCAGACATGGACTTGGAACTTGGACGCAAAGACTTGTCAACATCCCTGGGTGGGTGGGTACTGCAGTCACACCAGTGATTTGACTCCGACTTGACTCTTTTTTTCCAATGACTTGGAACCCACCCACCCCTCCCTTTTTCCTGGGGGGAAAAAGCTTGCTTTTAGTAGGGACTTGGGATTCAGGACTTGGTACCAAAGACTCAGACATGGACTTGGAACTTGGACGCAAAGACTTGCCAACATCCCTGGGTGGGTGGGTACTGATGATTCACTAGGACTAATACAAGATAATGTATGATTTTATGGTTTCTAATTCTTCATGCATATCTATTATTTCATAGTACTCCATTCTGATTTTGTTTACAATAACATTTAATCACTCACCATGAAGAATTGTTGCTATTGGTGTTGCCAGAGGTAACAGCAGTTCTGTTTGTAAAGGAATTAACCTGTCTTGACTGGCTATCAAATAACTATGGTCATTTAATGCAGTCTGTCCAGGGCCACATCAGTGTTTTTAGGGTTCTCTGTCATCTCTGAAGAATATTAGTGATTCACGTTTTCAAAAACACAAATTATATCAGCTAGAAAGGGGCTAATAATTCATGACATCAGAGCTGCTTTGGAAAATAATTTATCTTTTGCTTATAACCAATTCAGAGCCAGAAGTACAATTAATACAATTTGATAAATACCCACTCCTAACATCTAAAGTGGGCAGTTTTAATTTTGGTAGAAAAGAATTAGTGCTTTGCCTGTCCTGGGAATTTTCCAGTAAGAAAATTAATGTGTGAAGTCATCTCCCTGGAAATTCAGGTCCTGAGATTTGCAAGAAATTAAAATAGTAAATAGAAGCATTTTACATTTAAAAGATGAGGGGAAGACATCAATAAAGCCCTGCTTTTTTTCACTGGAGAAAGTGTATTTTAATTTTTAAAAAATAAAGCAATAAGGTATGTTAATGACAAAAATGAATAAATCTTGATTCTCTCCCCCCCCTTTCTCTTTCCAGAACTGTGTCTGCACGGGCAGAAGTCATTGTTACTGTAATGGAACAAAAGGCAATAAGGTAATGGGATAGGGTTAGGGTTACGGTTTATTCCTAAAATCAACTGACAGTGTCGCAATGAGCATGTGCAATTCTGTAAGGAAGGATTGTTGACCAGCTTTTCAGAATAGAGACAATAGTGTGCCCCCTCCAGTGGCAAACGCTGGAATAGCACAATGTAAAAATAAAACGGAGTAGCCTTGTTAAATGACCCAGCAAGTCTGCACAGTTTCCTGGGAAGTGAGATATTGAACTGTTACACTAGCAGGATGATCACTGTGGTCTATGGATGTTCAGCCTGTGGCAGGGATGCAAAGAATGCAAAGAAACATATACAAAGAAAATTACTAAAATGACAGAAAAACAAGGAAGGTTTGGGGGAGGGCACGGAGTTACACAGTGGCGTCTTAGTATCATTTGCATGTACAGCATGTTCCACTATAACAAAGGTCATCTATCTGTGTGCTTGAAAATAATAAATAAATCTTGAATGGGGGACATCCCCCTTGTCCAGCCCCTCAGATGTCATGTACATGTTTATGACTTTCTCTCTTGTTCTCCTGTTCATCTTAGCAGTTTTCTTGTGTGTCTCCTTAGCCAGCCCATTAAGAATAGTACTGTATTAGCAACATTATCCAAATGATATACAGATCTATAGGTACCCAGTGACCTCATTATGTAGCCCTCATGCACTCCTGCCGGATAAATCTCGGGTAGCAATGTCCGGGTATATTCAATCTATAGCCACAGCTGGCTCATTTTAAAGGAGACTAATTTGGGAAGTAAAAAGCTAAGTTATAGCCCTGCCATGGAAAAAGAGGGGATATTCTAACTCATCTACTACACATCTAGCTGAACAAACAGACAAACAAAAAATATTATTTGTCAGTGTCCCAAGACAGAGTGCTCCCAACTCTTAGAATACAAACACTGCAGAGTAGTTTGCTAATGTTCTAGCCCCAGTGACATGCAGCAGTGACCCACATCACTAGGGATGACCCTTTTCACTTTCTTCTAAGCCCTAATACCCAGCCTCAAATACCAGGAACATAAGGTCTGAAGGAGGAGCCCTAACCTGCTGCCAGGTTTATATAGGGAGAGGTAGTGTTTCAAATATCCAGGTTCCAAGCCATTTACTATACAATGAATATACTATTATACAGTATATATTTGATTTCCACCATTCAAGTGCATGAGTTATTTCCACACTAAAAAATAGAGAGTGATCCCACCACTGAGGAACACCTGACCAAATCAAGAAAAATTTAGCTTAGACCAATAGGTTGTCTTCTGCTTGAAGTTCAAGTACAAAACAAAAGACACATGTGTGGGCCAATCTATCTCCCCACTGACACACTTTTCTACTAGGTAGGACAGCCCGGTCATATAGCATCCCAGGAGGACTCACTACCTATCTCCTACATCTTCTCTTCTTTATTGTCCTGTTCTTTCCTCTCAAATCAGTCCAGCTAACCTCCTTGTATACTTCAAGAGCAGTGCCCATCACACATTAGTAGAAATGAAAGCAATAAATGAAACCCAAAATAAAAGTATCGATTGTGGCAAGATCTAAAAGTCATGAAACACAGGTTATTTTTAAAACTGCAATTTTGAAGACCCTAAGACAATAAAAAAAATCTGATTCTGACATAGCTGCAAATGTGGTTTCTCATATGATACAGTGGTGCCTCAACTTACGACCGTAATCTGTTCCAGAAGATGGTCGTAAATTGAAATGGTCATAATTTGAAATGGCCGTAATTTGGAAATGTGATTAATCTGTTCCAGCAACTCCCTCCCCCCCAAATGGTCATAATTTGAAATGGCCGTAATTCCAGCAACTCCCCCCCCCAAAAAAAAACATTGCAAGCCCCATAGGAACACACTGTGGCTGGAAAAAAAACACCAAGAAACAAACAACAAAACCCAAACCCACCCTGCAAAGCCCACCCAGAACAGGTTTTTAAAAGCAAAAAGCAGCACCTTACCCCGGGGTTGTCTTTGCACGGGGGAGAAACTGAAGAGGCACCGACCAGATAAGCTGGGGACTAGGTGGCAGGAGAGAAAGGGAGCCTCAAAAGCTGGCTGAAGTGAATGGAGCCGGGACTGGAGACCTGGCCGGGGTGGATCTGGGCGGGCGGGCGCCTACTCCAGAGATGCCCTCCCTTTGGGGTGGTGGATCCCTGTTCCTGCTCGGCCCCCTCGGGTGAGGGGTTCCCAGCCAAGGGCAACGGCCCAGGTGCCTCTTCCAAATGGATTTTCCCCGTCCACCTGCCACCTCCTGCTCCACCACAGCTTCCCTCCGGGCAGCAGTGCTCCATGGTGGAGCAGGAGGTGCCACTTCCACACCGGCCAGCCGGGTGAACACCACTGCCCAGAAGGAGGCCGTGGTGGAGCAGAAGGCACCACTTCCATGCCAGGCAGGCGGGCAGGCAAGCACTGCTGCCCAGAGGGAAGTGGTGATGGAGCAGGAGGCACCGCTTCCACACACACCAGCTGGGTGAGCACTGCTGCCCGGAGGGAAGCCGTGGCAGAGCAGGAGGCAACAGGTGGACAGGAGGAGTCCATTTGGAAGGGGCGCCCGGGCCATTGCCCTTGGCCAGGAACCTTTTGCCCAGAGGGGGCGAGCAGGAACCGGGTGTCCATTGCCCTGAAGGGAGGGCAGCTCTGGAGTAGGCACTCACCGATCCACATCTGCCCTGGCCAGGTCTCCAGTCCCGGCCCCGTTCACTTCAGCCAGCCTTTGAGGCTCCCTTTCTCTCCTGCTGCCTGGTTCCCGGCTTCTCTGGCCGGTGCCTCAACTTTGAATTTTGAATTTTGAAATTTGAATTCCCCGCCTTTTCCCCCTGCCTTTTTGTGTTCATAAGTGGAAGCTCTGGCCACAAGTCGAAGCTAAATTATGTGGCCGGAGCTGTTCGTAAGTCAAAATGGTCATAACAAGTGATGTACATAAGTCGAGGCGCCACTGTCATCCTATATAAGTCTAAAGAGTGAAGCCTAAACTATGTTAATTGTAACAGTGATTTGAACCAGGATTGAAAGTTGGCTTATTCTCCTGCTGAGACTTGTAAGCAGCTGAAAGGGTGTGGGCATGGGTGGGCGTATCACACACCATGACGAATAAGGTTACATGTAAAAGGTTTATGCGCATTCTTTTTACAGGGTGAAAAGGGCTTTCCTGGTTACCCTGGCCCACCTGGTCAAATGGGTTTTCCTGGCCCAGAAGGTCCTCCTGGGCCACAAGGACCTAAGGTATGTTTTAGTCTAAAGTGAGTGGGTGAATACACTAAAAGGGGGTCATTGTGTTACAGTGATAAAGAGAAAGTGTTGAGCTTTTAGAGTACCTTGCAAACTACCACATTCGTCCCTGACACATGTTAAGAGAAGGGGGTTAGAATGTAGCCGATATGGTCTTTTATGGAGATGAGCTCCACTGGTGGTGGTGGTGGCAGCGACTGAAGTTTCTGCTGCATCCAGACAAATGCAAAGCTGTTGTGAATATCTGCTGGCAGAAATCTCCAAAATGGGCTATTCACTAAGTCAAATCAAACCTTGTAATTCACATATCGTTACAATAAGAAAATACATTAAAATTTAAGCTGCACAGTTTTCTCCGTGCTAGTAAATCAGATGCAAACTAAGCCAGTTTTTAACTGATGGTGACCAATCACCAAACAAAGCAAGCTATTTTGGAAGCTACAATAAATTATATTATGATCAAATGGCTTTTGAACATATAAGGAATTGTTGCTTCTAAAAATGAACTCTCTGAAGGATTTAGGATCCTGGTAATTTTGGCTTTGCCAGTTCTGAAGCACCTGTGATCTCCCACATTGTTGAACTTCAGACCCTTTATTAAGGCTTGGAGCTATCACAAGGAGAAAAAAATATGTGGCATTTCCCACCTTTGGAGCCAGCAGGTCTTGAGATACAGTGGTGTTTCTACAACTTCAGTCTTCTTGAGTTCTACTTAGGATTCTTCTGGCCTGTGTATAGAATGTACACATTTATAATTTAAATAGCCCATCCTATTGTCTGTACACCTTTCAGAATCTGTTTGAATTACAGTCAAATTTGGCATGACCTCCAAAAATAAATGAATATATACTAAGCAACAGGAATTCAGCCAGTAAATATACTATTTACTGGCTGAATTCCTGTTGCTTAGCATAGTCAGTTGCGACAAGAGTAGACACTGAATGAATGGGAATTTGGCAAGTCAACTATTCTGTAAGTTCCATTGATTGAATCTACTCTAGGTGCAACTGACTATGCTAAGCAACAGGATTTCAGCTGCTGTGTTATTACAGTGGTACCTCGCTAGACGACGCCCCCGCTAAACAACGAATCCGCATAATGGTGACTTTTTGCAATCACTATAGCAATTTGCAAAACAGTCATTCCAATGGACAATTTTCGCTTGACGATGATTTGGTCCGTGCTTCGCAGACCGTTTATTCGCAAGATGACAAATTCTACAGCTGATTAGTGGTTTCATAAAATGGCTTCCCTCTGTTTTCCGGACCCATGCCTCGCAGGATAGCCATTTTAACAGCTGACTGGTGCTCGCAAAATGGCTGCCCTATGGGCGATCGTCGCAAAACGAGGATGTATTTTCCTCATTGGAATGCATTAAACGGGTTTCAATGCATTCCAATGGGGAAATGGTTTTCGCATGAAGATGATTTCGCTAAACAGCGATTTTCCCAGAACGGATTATAATCGTCATGCGGGGTACCACTGTACTTTAGTTCTCTGGCTTCTGTCAACAGTATTGGTTATTTAGCAGTGGCTAGAGATTAATAAGGCTGGTAAATATGAGTAATAAACAAGTAAATAAACATCTGTTTCTGCTTCATTGACTACGCAAAAGCCTTTGACTGTGTGGACCACAGCAAACTATGGCAAGTTCTTAAAGAAAAGGGAGTGTCTGACCACCTTATCTATCTCCTGAGATATCTATATGTGGGACAGGAAGCAACAGTTAGAACTGGATAGGGAATAACTGGTTGGTTCAAAATTGGGAAAGGAGTACGACAAGGCTGTATATTGTCCCCCTGCATATTCAATGTATATGCAGAATACATCATGCAAAAGGCAGGACCGGATGAAACTCAAGCCAGAATTAAGATTGCCGGAAGAAATATCAACAACCTCAGATATGCAGATGATACTGCTCTGATAGCAGAAAGTGAGGAGGAATTAAAGAACCTCTTAATGAGGGTGAAACAGGAGAGCACCAAAAATGGTCTGAAGCTCAACATCAAAAACACTAAGACGCCTGCTTCTTGGGAGAAAAGTGATGACAAAACTAGACAGCATCTTGAAAAGCAGAGACCTCACCTTGCCGTCAAAGGTCTGCATAGTCGAAGCTATGTTTTTCCAGTAGCCATGTATGGAAGTGAGAGCTGGACCATAAAGAAAGCTGTCCACCGAAGAACTGATGCTTTTGAATTGTGGTGCTGGAGGAGACTCTTGAGAGTTCCCTGGACTGCAAGGAAAACAAACCTATCCATTCTAAAGGAAATCAACCCTGAGTGCTCACTGGAAGGACAGATCCTGAAGCTGAGATTCCAATACTTTAGCCATCTCATGAGAAAAGAAGACTCCCTGGAAAAGGCCCTGATGTGGGAAAGGGTGAAGGCAAGAGGAGAAGGGGACGAGGGAAGACGAGATGGTTGGACAGTGTCATAAAAGCTACCAACATGAATTTGACCAAACTCCTGGAGGTAGTGCAAGACACGAGGGCCTGGCGTGCTCTTGTCCATGGGGTCACGAAGAGTCCGACACGACTTAATGACTAAACAACAACAAAAATATGAATAAAAGGCAATGCAAGTTAAGCATGTCAATGTCCATTCTACAAAATGTGGCAGTTGTGTCAACAGGAAAACTTTATTGGAAATTCCATTATTGGACAATATCTCCCAGAATCCCTCACCAGTATTGCTAGTGTCCATGCTGGCTGGGGTATTCTGTAAGCTGCAGTCTGAAAAAGTAACTTTTCCTGCCTCTGTGGAGGTGACTCTTTGTGCTTACAATATGTTTATTTCTTCCTGTCACGCATAGGATATTTATGGCTGTATTTTTGCTAAGATGTCTGTGTGCTTTCTTAGAAAAAGCATATCTTTTTTGAACAGTTATGTAACTGGAGTTGGCCTAATTTTTGCCTGTTATTTTAATTTCTTCAAGAACTAGGGTACAGCAGAAAAGGGAAAGAAGAAGAACAGATGAATAATATACGTGGATGTTGTACAGAAAGATGAAACCTCGTATAACTAATTTTCTTTTGCTTTCTAGGGATTTCCAGGGTCGATAGGCTTTTCTGGACCTAAAGGTTCAAGGGTTAGTATTTTGTTGAGTTATATGCTGCTAAATATTATGCTTCAAAAATGTAGCAAGAAAAGAAAAATTGTGGGCATAATCCTATCACATTAGGATAAAAACATTTATTGTTTGGATTCTCGGGTATTTCCTGATTCCTATCCGAATGCCAAATTCCAGTGGGTTGTAATTGCTGGATATAACCCCATTATTTTAAAAATGGAAGTGCTGCTTCTTTAAGACCATCTAGCTCAGTGGCTAGGACTACTTTTGAGGTCAAGTTTACTCCCATTTATAGGCAGATTCATTTATGCCATTGTGAATCTCATGGCTAGTGTTCCTGTATTTTCCCATATATTTTCATATGACTAATACCTGATTTCAGATGTATCTATATTTAACTTAAACTATGTGGTCATTGGTCTTTAATCAATAACTTTCATAAGTTTAAGGTCATCACGGCCAGTTGACTTGAATGCCTTACGCCATGTAGAAAAGTGATGTTTTTCTAATTATATAGCTGCTATGTCAGGTTTGGGAGGGATGGTGGGTTCAGACAGTTACACTTTCCATTAGAGATTGGGACAGCTCAGCATTTTAGTGGTTCGTCCCACTTCGTGAGTCATCAAAAGTTGACAACTCACAAAGCCTGAAGTTGCCCCCAGGAAGTGACAAATAACAGTTATTTGCTGATTCATGGGGCGTTATTTAAAACATACACATCCCACTCCCGCCACCCCCCCAGTGCCGCCGACACCCTCCACTGCCATCAACACTCCCCACTGCCAAGAACACCCCCTGCTGCCAGCGCTGCATTGTTGCTGCCCCCTCCACCATCACCACCACTGACACCCTTTACTGTAATTGTTACCACCGCTGCCAAGGTCTCCATCAGGCCTCCACAGCCATGGCATATAAAAAGGGAAAGTGGCTGCCCTTTGCAAAGATGGCAGCTGCAGCTTCCCTACCCTAAATGAAGCCACAGCCACCATCTTTGTAAAGGGCAACCAGTTTCCCTTTTTGCATGCCATGGCTATGGAGGCCTGATGGAGACCTTGGCAGCGGTGGCGATAATTACGGCAGGGGTTGGGTGGGCTAGAGTAGGGAGAGGAAGGGGGTGGCTGTAGGCTGTGGGGATGGGTGGCTGCCCAATGACCTGCTGATTAGCTGATCAGCGGGCTGGTAGGCAGAATGTGTGTTTTTTAAAAAAATTATGAAGAGACAAATAAAGTGGGGAAATATTCATCAAGCCGTATTTGTCGGGACTTAAAATTTGACAAATACGGATCAACAAATATTTAATGAATCAGCTATATTCATTGAAAAAAAGATCTGTTTTTATATTCATCCCCATCTCTACTTTCCATTTTTAGTGCTCCTATGTTTTCTTATCACATCCTCTTCTTCCTTACCACAACAAATCAGTTAAGACAAACTATCAATAAACTGTTAAGACTATTAGTGCTCAGAGATCCCAGTCTGGAAGTACCCTAAATTGTGGTTTAGTTAAGCAAGTTCTTGCCACATAAGATTGTTCCATTCTACCAGGTGAATTAAACCTTGCTCAGATAATGGCTGTCATATCAGTATTTGCAAAAAGATTTCCTGTTTCTGTTGAAAATGCTGGCTTTGTTTGGTTAAAGACTGTCTGCTGATTTTTTTTCCTTTTTATCATTAGGGTATGCCAGGTGTCCCTGGTTATTCAGGTCCTCCAGGTCTCCCAGTAAGTAAAAGAAAAATTTGCTGCATGCACCCCAATATATTCATAAGCTTAGTAATCTCATCATTATTACATGAGCAAATCTTTAAAAGATGCATTGACAATAGTACATCTCAGATACAATTACATGAAGTTTTGCTAAACTGCATGTTTGTACAATCAAAAGTTTATTGTTAGTAATGCTAAAATTGCCGTACTAATTACCTTGGCAATCATGTAACTTTTAGGGTGAACCAGGAAATGCTGGCCCTTCAGGACGTCCAGGTATACCAGGGTGCAATGGAACAAAGGTAAGCATAAAACAGAACCAATGGTGGACTGCCTGTAAGATGGACAGTTTGCAAAACATCATCCTGAGACAATCCAGTCAAAGTGTAAGGCTTAAACAAATATTCAGAGAAATACATATTACAGTGGTGCCTCGCTTAACGAGCGCACCGTACAACGATGAATCCGCATAGCGATCCCCTTTTCGGGATCGCTAATGTGGAGGCATACCGATCGTTCCAATGGGCAAAACTCACATAGTGACGATTGGTAAGCATTTCGCTTACCAATCTTCGCTTTGCGATGCCCGCGGATCAGCTGTTTGGCTGTTCTAAAATGGCCGCCGGACGCCCAAAATGGCCGCGCGCCGCGTTTTCGCACTCTCCCCTCGCTTACCGAGGGCGCAAAAATGGCTGCCGCAATGGAGGAATCTTCGCTGAACATTTAAGTTTAGGGCCCATTGGAACACATTAAACAATGTTTAATGCGTTCCAATGGGTTTTTATGATCCATTTAGCGATGTTTTCACATAGCAAGGGTTAATCCGGAACAGATTAACCTTTACATGAGCAAATCTTTAAAAGATGCATTGACAATAGTACATCTCAGATACAATTACATGAAGTTTTGCTAAACTGCATGTTTGTACAATCAAAAGTTTATTGTTAGTAATGCTAAAATTGCCGTACTAATTACCTTGGCAATCATGTAACTTTTAGGGTGAACCAGGAAATGCTGGCCCTTCAGGACGTCCAGGTATACCAGGGTGCAATGGAACAAAGGTAAGCATAAAACAGAACCAATGGTGGACTGCCTGTAAGATGGACAGTTTGCAAAACATCATCCTGAGACAATCCAGTCAAAGTGTAAGGCTTAAACAAATATTCAGAGAAATACATATTACAGTGGTGCCTCGCTTAATGAGTGCACTGTACAACGATGAATCCGCATAGCGATCCCCTTTTCGGGATCGCTAATGTGGAGGCATACCGATCGTTCAAATGGGCAAAACTCACATAGTGACGATTGGTAAGCATTTCGCTTACCAATCTTCGCTTTGCGATGCCCGCGGATCAGCTGTTTGGCTGTTCTAAAATGGCCGCCGGACGCCCAAAATGGCCGCGCGCCGCGTTTTCGCACTCTCCCCTCGCTTACCGAGGGCGCAAAAATGGCTGCCGCAATGGAGGAATCTTCGCTGAACATTTAAGTTTAGGGCCCATTGGAACACATTAAACAATGTTTAATGCGTTCCAATGGGTTTTTATGATCCATTTAGCGATGTTTTCACATAGCAAGGGTTAATCCGGAACAGATTAACCTCGCTATGCGAGGCACCACTGTACTTCCTGCTCCAATGTTTCCCCTCAATCAGTGTAATCTCCTTTTGTTTTGCATATCTCAGCAAGAAGATTTGCAAATGAAGATTTTTATTTACATTCCATGATCATTCAGGCTTCTGTTTTTGTTTTTGTTTTTGTTTTTGTCTCCTTTTATCATCAGATGTCCTTCACTGTTTGAAGGAGTTCTCCTTCTAGGCACATAGTTATAATTTTAGGGTCCATGGCATGTGTTTTTCTTTGTGCAACATTTTTTTCACTGTCTCTCTATTTTCCAGGGTGATCAAGGATTTCCAGGGTTCCAAGGGCAAGTTGGATTTCCAGGATTACCAGTAAGTTTGAGTCTAATAAATTTTGTGCAGAGCTTCATATCCCAGGGGTTCTAAGTATTTCATTAACATTCATTGAAGCCTACATTATTGACTGGGAAGAAATTAAACAAGATGGTTAAATGTATTTCAAATTATCAGCAATCACGTTATTAGAAATTCTACTATACTTGCACAATACCATCAGTTCATGGAGGGTCACATTACCGGACAAACTTGTATGTCCCAAGATGTAGTAAGATCAGCCCATTTTATAGGTACATGGTTCTCATCGATCACACAAATCCTATTAAAATATGGTGATTATCCATGTTTTGAAAATATGTAATTGGTAGGAGCACCTGACTATGAAGCCAAGGGTCAGGAGTTCAGATTTCCCGTAGCCTATGTGGCAAACTACACAGTCCCTGAGCAGCCTCAGAAGAAGGGGCTGGTAAACGACTCCTGAATACTCTTTACTTAAAAAAAACTCTGCAAGGAGTCACTGTAAGTCAAAATTGAGGACATGTTGATAGTATTACTACATAATATACCAGTAAAATAGTTGTATGACTCATTTTGTCTTTCTGAAATTTCAATGACCATCATTTCCTCAAAGGTAAATACTCATGTTTCTTTTGACATCATCATACTATTGTTGCTTTCTGCATTGAATGCTAACAAAGGGAGATATGCTATCAAAACATGATTTGGCCAGATGGGCGGTATAAAAGTGCAACAAATAAATCAATCCCACAGGCTACAGTCCTTCATATACTAACTGGGATTAAATTGTACTGCACTCATTGGAACATGCTTCTGAAAAGACAGGTATAAATGACAGGGCTCTCAGGAACAGAAATAGATCTATTGGAGGGTATCTTTCCCCGTCTGTACTTTTGCCATAAGTCAAAAGCAATAACAGCACATGACAACTTGCTATTTCAAACTGTAGGTGTAACTGCACAGTGGTTTTGAACTCTTCCTTGTACACATGGTCATATGTTTTTGTTTTGTTAAATGGCTGTAATATATTTGATCCATTTATAATACGTTGTAATTTTTTTTTAATCTTTAGGGTCCTAAAGGCGTCAAAGGGGAAAAAGTAAGTTGATGATACAGCAGAGGAAACAAACAGTAATAGAGTCTAGTAAATACAGTTTTCTCATATGTTTAGTGCAGACATACTTTAAAAATCCAAATTTACTGTTGTATTTTTCATTCTAAATTACTGGTTTTCTTCTGAAGTGAAACTAAAGTGTTAAGAATTAATCATTTTTCAGGGATTTTGTATACATCCAAATTTTATACAGGTTATTGTATATTCTTGTATGACAGATGAGAAGCAAAAGATGAAAAATAAAGTCAGAATCATGAATACAAATTTTCAGTAATTATCCTAGAGAGACAAAGAAAACTATTACAGTGACCAGCAGAAAGAAATAGAAGTTCCAAAATATGAAAGAGAAATTTAAACCCAACCTAGGGATGCTGCTGATAAATCAACAGGGGAACACACTGTCTGACCAGGATAAAATAAAGACAAGGTGAAAATAGTGTGCTATAGATACAAGGAAAACACATTCATTTGAGGAAGAATCTTATGATGAAGAACTTGATATTTTAGAAAGTGAAGTGAAATTTGCTCTCAAAGTACTTGGAAGAAAGAAATCACCAGGAATAGATGTAATACCAATAGAACTATTCTAAGCTACAGAAACTGAATCCATCTTGCCAACAAATGTGAAAAATAAAACAATAATCTACAGATTGGAAACATTCTATATAGATTCCTGTCCTGAGGAAAGGAGACTCCAAAGAGTGCTGTAATTGTAGGACTATTGTATTAATTTCCCGTACAAGCAAAGTTAAGCTCAAGGTGCCACAACATAGACATTTACCCTCTACAGAGAACTAGCTCAGTGGTTTAGGTATCTTGCTGTGGAGTCAGAGGTTAGGAAATCAATTCCCCACTGTGCCTCCTTGACAGGGGCTGGACTCAATGATCCCTAAGGTCCCTTCCAGCTCTGCAGTTCAAAGATGATGATGATGACAATGACAGTTATTTTTATTGTTGTTGTTAAATATCTGGTGTTCAGCTGGATTCTGGAAAAACATGAGGCTTTAGAGATCATATTACAAATGCACATTGGATACAGGTGCACACCAAAGAATTTCAGAAAAAGATAAGTCTCTGCTTTATAGACAAAGTCTTTGACTGCATAGATCATGAGAAGCTATGGAGTGTGTGTGGGTGCACGTAAAATCCTCCAGTTTAAAGTAAAATATTATGTTTAAATTTTATATCAGCAAAAGCAAATTCAGATCATTTCCTACTCAATTTTCACCCCCAAAATAGCCTGTGCTATAAATATGTTGTTTGTAGAAATTAACACTATCAAAGCCCATGTTTCATCTCACGTCTTCTACATTCATAGTGAGACAATATATAAGGAGTGAGACAACATAGACATTTACCCTCTACAGAGAACTAGCTCAGTGGTTTAGGTATCTTGCTGTGGAGTCAGAGGTTAGGAAATCAATTCCCCACTGTGCCTCCTTGACAGGGGCTGGACTCAATGATCCCTAAGGTCCCTTCCAGCTCTGCAGTTCAAAGATGATGATGATGACAATGACTATGACAATTATTTTTATTGTTGTTGTTAAATATCTGGTGTTCAGCTGGATTCTGGAAAAAAGGAGGCTTTAGAGATCATATTACAAATGCACATTGGATACAGGTGCACACCAAAGAATTTCAGAAAAAGATAAGTCTCTGCTTTATAGACAAAGTCTTTGACTGCATAGATCATGAGAAGCTATGGAGTGTGTGTGGGTGCACGTAAAATCCTCCAGTTTAAAGTAAAATATTATGTTTAAATTTTATATCAGCAAAAGCAAATTCAGATCATTTCCTACTCAATTTTCACCCCCAAAATAGCCTGTGCTATAAATATGTTGTTTGTAGAAATTAACACTATCAAAGCCCATGTTTCATCTCACGTCTTCTACATTCATAGTGAGACAATATATAAGGAGTGAGAGGGCTGTACAGTGGACCCTTGACTTACAGACGGCTTGACTTACAGACTTTTTGAGTTACAGACTTCTCTGGCTGCAAAATTTAGGTTTGACTTGCAGACTGAGATTTGACTTACAGACCAGAAAAAAACCAAAATGGAACAAAAACGGCCTGTTATGGGATTAATCGGTTTTCAATGCACTGTAGGTCAATGGAGACTTGACTTACAGACTTTTTGACTTGAGAATCGCCTTCCAATACGGATTAAGTTCTCAAGTCAAGACCCCACTGTACTATTTAACTGGGACAGAAGTTAAGATATAATGTGACCATGTTTTGAGTGAGGGGGTCGTCTGTCACCTGAATTTCCTTGCTTTTTAGGGTATGTCTTCTACTATTACCTTTCACTTTAAACCAATGTTTTCTCTTTCTCTCTCCCTTTACCTTTCTCGGAAATTTACTGAAGTTTAGGGGTGTATGTGCTCATTCATGAAATAATATACAGAAAAAAAATCTTAATTTGGTCATTATACCAGTTTAAAGTAAAATATTATGTTTAAATTGTATATCAGCAAAAGCAAATTCAGATCATGTCCTACTCAATAATATACAGAAAAAAATTCTTAATTTGGTCATCATATTTGTCATCACCTCCTGATTTCAAATATTTTATCCATACACTTTGGTAAATCAGATGTGTTGGCAGATTAACGGAAGAAATTAAAGGATGCAAAGAAAGTGCCTGCTGTGCAGAAAATTATAAGAAGTGTCATAGTTAAACCAAGATGCAGATGTGTTGCGTAGCATAATAATAATATTGAAACATGGACAAATTACCTAACTACTTTTCTCAATCTCATAAAAAGGGGAGTTCTGCAAGTGGATTTGACCCGGGTTATCGTTCCCAAGGTGATCCTGGATTGCCAGGATATCCTGGATTGCAGGTAAGGGTGAAAAATATTTTGCTTTGCTTTGGGAGTTTTTCTTGTTTTTTGACAGTAAGACTTTGGTTAGTGTGATTGGCTATTAACTGGAAAGTGAGGACATAAGCCCTATGAAGAAACACGGAGATAATATAAATTAAATAAATAAAATAAATAAATAAACTTGGTGTGTTTAACCTTGAGAATCAAAGACTGAGGGGAGATATGATGGCACTTTTCAAATACTTGAAAGGTTATCATACAGAGCAGGGACAGGATCTGCTCTTGATCATCCCAGAGTTCAGGACTCGTCATAATGGGTTCGAGACAGGAAGCCAAATTTTGATTGAATATATTTAAAAAACCTCTTAACAGAGCAGTATGACAACGGAGCCAATTTGCTCAGGAGGTGATGAGCGCTCCAATGTCATAGGTATTCAAGAGAAAGCTAGGCAGTAATTTAGATAAACTTTGACTTGTATTCGTGCAAGGAGCATGAAGCTGGAGTCAGTGTTCTTATAAGCCCCTTCCAACTCCAGTATTATATGACACTATGATTCTATGATACTGATGTATAGACTGGGTACCCAATTTGGTGTAGTGGCTAGAGGAATGGACTAGGACTCAGGAAACGTAGGTTCAATTCCCTGGCTCTGCCATGGAAGCTTCCTAGAGTGGGGTGATGGGTGGAACTGGTAAAATTACTTCTTAAATTTACCTTGAAAACCCTATTAGGGCCACTATAAGTCAATTCTGACTTGATGACACATAACAGCAAATGTACAATTTACCCTGTCTATTAAACTGTTTAGATGAATATGCAAGTGTGAAAGTTGCTCAGTTTGCCTTTTCAGAGAGCATAATGTAGGACTTGGACTGTTAGACTAGGACTTGGAAGAGCCAGGTTTAAATCCTCACTGAGCCATGACATTTTCTTGGTGACCTTGTATTGGTTTCTAGCCCCAGAGAGGTATTTTGAGGTTAAAGTGGGCAGGGGGAGCCATCTACTTTTAAGTACATATACATCAAATGGTAAATCTTTCTTTTTCCTGCCTGCCTGCCTGCCTTCCTTTGCTTTGCTCTGTTCTGCTCTCCTCTCGTCTTTAGTGTTGTTTCATTATTAGTGAATGGAATAGATGACACCTGTATTTTAATGTCTTCTCATGAGAGGCACTTACATTCATAGGAGTTTCTCTGAACAGAAAATAATCATTGGAACTAATGCAGCATGGTGTAATATGTAACAATTTTAGTTGCTATGCCTTAAAACCTGAAAGGTTATTGCTGGTCTGGAGAACTCTGGGCTCTCTAGATCTTAAGGGACTGCTACTTCCATGATCCTTTACCATCGTCTAGGCTGCCTGAGGCTGATGGGAGTTGCGGCCCAACAAAATCTGTAGGACCAGAAGTGCCCAGGCTTATTGTTGTTCAATAAATAAACTGCTACTGCTGTGATTGAATTGTTAATTTGTTTTTTGTGTAAATGAACACCAAAGACAGTAAAAGGGAACAAAGCACCCAGTTAAAGTAGTGATTATTTTAAATACTTATTTTTAAATGGTTTGTTTTGTTTGTTTGTTTTTGTTTAAAGGGTGATCCAGGACCTCCAGGTGTACCTGGGCTAATTGGGCCAGAGGGTCCTCCAGGATTTCCAGTAAGTAGAAGGTCTAAATTCCCTAAAACACTCCATTTGGAGGCTGGTCGGTAGCAAAACCACAAATACTAGTAGATCTATATCTGTAGACCAGTGGTTCTTAACCTTTGTTACTCAGGTGTTTTTGAACTGCAACTCCCAGAAACCCCAGTCAGGACAGCTGGTGGTGAAGGCTTCTGGGAGTTGCAGTCCAAAAACACCTGAGTAACCCAAGGTTAAGAACCAGTGCTGTAGACCACCAATACTTGTGGTGCCCTTGCACAGCAGCCTACTCCCTTCTAGTTAATAGATCTGGGAGTTTACAATTACTTTCTTATGCCATTCCAGAACAGTGACACCCAACAGTAGTATAACCAACACAAAAGATGTCATGGCCGGTACAGAAATCTCAGATGTGGTTATAGCTGAAGCCACTCAAAGGCAAATGGAACACATTGAGACCAAAATGTCCAGCCTTAGGGTGGGAAGACCTTGGGCTATTAATGTAGATCACAGATTTTAAAAGAAAATTATTATCAGTGACTGTACTTTCAGGAATATACTTTTGTGCAACATGAAGATTGAATTGTTCCTTCCTACATTGTTATCTTTTAAAAAGATTACATGCAAGATTTAACATTTAAGCCCGTCCCTCCCTATTTATCTCTTTCTATAATTTTCATTTGTTGAAATCTCATCTCAGATAGATTTGAAGGGAAACAGTTAGTCACTTTATTTGTATGTTTGCCTTTTAGGGATCACAAGGAAGACCAGGAGTCCCGGGACCTAAGGTAATTCAGAACGGTGATATAAATGAATATTTCAAAAGTACCTCCAGTATAATTGAGCTGCTTATTACCAGTTCTTTCACTGATTTATTCTTTAAAAATATACATTTTTGAAAGATGTTTGGTTTCGTTTTTAGGGTCTTATGGGTGCTAAAGTGATTGGACCCAAAGGAAAGAAGGTAACAATAAACAATGCTATCTGATTTTTCCTTCTTTTTGTGTATATCTGTGATTGTGTATACACATACACTGGCCAGAATCCTATTTATGCTCACAGGCCTTATTTCATCTATACAAATTTCAGCAGTGAATTGCCATTAGTTAAGAAGTCAGTGTAGGCATTTGCTATCACACACCAAACACAGAAACTTGGTGCTTGACAACAAATGCCTAAATTTTTTAACTTGGACAATTTGATGCTGAAATGTACACCAATGGAGTTACATCAGCATACTATTTCAGTTGGATTCTGGTCATTATTGTTTTCCTGCTCATTGTGGACCTGCCAAGAGGACTAAAATGTCTTGCATTGGATTCAGGTCTTCATCAAAGTTGCCTCTTTTTTTTTTTTTTTACAGCTCCTAAAATTTGTTGCAAGAAGAAACTTGCTTTGCCTCAAACATTTGCACATTTGCAAGGCTTACAGCCTACCAGGCACACTTTATAAAATGTTAATACAGTAGCAAAATTTGTATACAGTCCTGGGGGGGAAAGTGCAAATACACATTTAATCAGTGGGCAGAAATGTATTTGTGAGATGCGTAAATAAATATGAATAGTGAAGGGATTCATTTTTAAATTATGCATGAACATCTATGTAGTAAAAACAGTAACAGATATCTCACAACCTAAATTTCTACTAAAGAAGAACAAGAAAAAAAATACATCTAGGATTCAGAAAAAGCCAAGGAGATCAAAACAAAAAGATTTTCACATCTCTACCTGTCCGTATTCTATAGTAGGCTATGTTCCATTCTTGTATTTTTTTATGGAAAATATTTAAAATGTAGCTATCTACTGTATGTTCTTGCTGCTGTATAATCAGTCCTTTTAACCGCCACTAGCTGTTTCAGTTCACCTCAATTTCAGTCCAGATAACTGCTGCAAGCTCTCTGATCTTCATAGCTTAATCTCTGTTAGTCTTAAAAAATGAGTCAGGACAGATTGTTGTGGTTATCTTTCTTAAACTCTAGGATTTTGGCGTATAATATCCCACTATCTGTAACTGTGCATTAACATAGTCCACAGCAACACTTGTAGTTCTTCTTTTTAATTACAGGGCGATGTTGGACTAATGGGCCCTCCTGGACCAACAGGAACAGTTATTGTAACACTAACTCGAGCAGACAATTCAACGGTAGAAGTATAATACTGCTAGTTGCTTTCATATTTCTTTTTTAAACTCTATAAGCCACTCGGATGCTTTGGTTGGGAGAAAAGCGCAGTATAAACTAAATAAATAATAAATATGTTCATGAGACTTACTCCAAAATGTAGCTGGCTTTGAAGTAGTACATGGAGAAAGGATCTAGGGACCTGTGTGAGCCACAAGCTGAACATTAGTCAGAAGTATGATGTGACAGGAAAAAATGTTAATGCATCTATTGATGCAGCTTCTATTGATGCAGCTTCTAAACTAAACAAAAGCTGCATCAATAGAAGCTGCATCACAAGTTGCATCAATAGAAATACAATTTAGAGATCAAGGGAAGATATTGTACCACTCTGCTTTGCTTTAGTCAGGGCTCACTTGGAGTACTATATCCAGCATTGGTTTTAAAATGATATCAAGACAGGAATCCGAAACAGTGGGACCAAGATAGTTAAGAATCTGGAAATCGTGCCTCATGAGGAATGGTTGAGGGAGCTGGCCATGTTTTACCTAGAAGATTCAAGAGGTGATACACTCAGCCACTCACAACTTTTAAATTTGTGAAAAGCTGGCAAGTGGAAGATGGAGGAAGTTAGCTTTCTGTGGTTCCCAATGACAAGAAAGGAGATTCTGACTAAATATTAGGAAGAATGTCATCGTCACAAATAAAACTAAAAACAAAAACATTGTCACATCTTAAAGAGTAACTGTTACATGTCTGTGTGAACTTCCATGGATACATCCACTTCTTCAGATACTTATTCAGACAATGTGAATCCCATTACCACCTTCTCTACCTATTTTCCTAACCAGCTCTATCTCTCTCAGTATCTATTCCCCCTCTCTCTGACTAATCAGCCCTATCTCTATCTATCTCTGTCTGCCTCTCATCCCAATCTCTATCTGGCTCCTCCTTCTCCTGCCAAGCCTCATGTAGCTGCTGACTCCGCCTCTCCAGCCCTAGGTTCATGCAAATCAGCCCATGAATATGAATGACATGAGTGCTGTGGGCGGTTACCACAGTCATCATCCCAAATAAAACTGGAAACAAAAACATTGTCACATCTTAAAGCATAACTGTTATATGTATGTGTGAACTTCCATGGATGCACCCACTTCTTCAGATACTTCTTCAGACAATGTCAATTTTCATGGATTTATCCATGGATATTCAAACTGAAATATAACAGGACGTTTTTACATTGGCACAACTTTTTCATGTTTGTCTTGTCTTATCTGATATGGTTCCGCAGATTTGACACAGCTACTTCTTTGGAAATTATAGTAAGAGGTACTTGATAGTAGAAATGATTACTTCTGAAAAGGGGTGGACTCCCCTTTCTTGGAAGTTTTTAAACAGAGATCTGATTATCATTTGCCAGGCTTGTTTTAGGTGTGGAATTCTACTATGGCAGGAGATTGGACTGATTGATCCTTTCTGCCCCATCTAACTTTGCAATTCTGTGAATCTGTGAAATAAGTTCTAAATAAATATGTATCAAATTGCAACCCAAATATGTAGTTCTTGGACCTCTTTTTCATGCCCATGCAGTCTGTTTCTCCAAATGCACAGATTTCTTTTGCCGCTTTTCTTTCTTCTGTTTTTCAAATTGGTGTGATTTTCGAAATAATACATGTGTCCTTCTCCAATAAAATTAATTGGTTTCCCTCTCTCTTTTTTTGGTGACAGGAATTAAAAGGAGATAAAGGAGACTTGGGTTCTCCAGGAGCCCCTGGGCCCCCAGGAGACTCAGTAAGTGACACTAAAATCAATGATTAGATTGTAATGTATTCTTCTGACTTGTCATGTCTTTAAGAGTGTGTGTTGTGCCACTGCATCTACTATTTGTCTAATGTCTTTAATTAATATACAAATTAATTAAATTATAAAATCATCTAGAATGAACAATGAACATACATCAGTTCTAATAAAGGACCTTTAAGCATTTAAAAAGTTAAATAAAAATACATCTGTAAATTCCATGGTGACCTTATACTAAGAAGCCATATCTTTTCTCTCACAGAGGTGGTTGTGTCATATGAATGGCCTCTGGGAAAAAGGATTAAGTATTTTCCCAGTGGTGGTATCAGCAGTTGGCATGCTTGGGCAGCTGCCAGAGTACCAGTAAACAGTCAGGGCCACAAACACACACCTGTGCTGGTGTCTGGGTTTGCAAACCTCTGTTGTTATTTTCCATAATGCCTAACTTCGTGTTTCTTCACAGCATTGTGAGAAACTTGAAGTACCCCAGCTGATACAAGATAAATATTCTTTCTGACATAAGAAGAAGTTCTCTAGAAAGCAATTTGCCAGGAGACCTCTGTAATGTGTCTTATACTGGCCAGGGCAGGAGATTAGGTGAATTTTTGCCATCCTCATACTGCCTGTTTATCTTCCAAAAACAAAAAAACTAAACTAAACAAACAAAAAAAAACCCACGAACCCTCACTTCTCATTTAAGCTAATAAAAATAAAAATGCCTATGTTAGTTCAAATTTGGCACAGGTTTAGTGCTTAATCAAGGACATGTCACAGAACAAATATTCAAATCTGGTTGTCAGTTGTAATGACTCTGCAATGCGTCAAGACGTACTATGAGGTTATTTGCAGTGTACCAGATGAAAACATATTATTCAACTGCCTGTCCAGACAGTATAATTCAGAGCAGTCTGGTTCAGGCTTAAAAGATTCTGATTTTCATTGCTATCTATTTTATCTCACACTTGAGTGATCCTTCCATTCACAGTGGAGATGTTTATTCTCCTGTGAGAAGGGTCTACGGAAGTCTTTGGATTGCTGACTTACCCATGAGCAAGGTTTACCCAGTTTACTCACATGTAAGGTTTGCCTGCTTTACTTCCAAATACAATTTACCTAGTTTGCTCATGTGTAAGGAGACAAAAGCAACAGCAGCAAAGGCAAGCTGGTGGTAATGATGCAAGGAGGGAAGGTTGGGGAAACAGAAGAGAGGTCAGCAGGTTACAGTGACTTTCCTTTTGTTGTTGTTGTTCAACTAAGTGGCATAGTGAAACAGCAATGCATCAACCTATCATAGTATACATATTAAACATATTGTACCGAAAGACACACTAATGTATTAGAGCTGCACTGCATCAATTAGGGAAATATTAAAAGAAAAATTGAAAATCAAGGATAGGGTTTCTCTGTCCTCCTTTTTAATGTCGCAACCCACCTAAGGGTTGTTACCTCAAATAGTGCCACCTACAGCTCCATTTGGATGTGAACTAATTATCCTCATAGGCTACAGTGGCATAACGAGCAGGTCAAACACAGCAAGTCAAAACACAGATGGATGCCATAATTTGGTTGGAACTAAACAGCACCAAAAGTGATCCAAATAGCAATCTATGGACAGGTCCTGAGTAAGAGAGAAACTGAATGAGATGTTCTGGGTGAAACTGGAGAATGAAGAGCATATTTCTGTAAATGCTTTCTGAATATTTTGTGTTTATATACCATTTTGTCATAAAAAAAACCTCAAAGCTTATCCAATTCTAGAGAAAGAAAAGTGTTTTAGTGCCTGGAGATAGGAAGACATGAAATCAAGAAATGTCCTTAAATATTTTGAGCCTTGTACATATGGTAACAGTGGCTTTAAGTGTTTTAAGACTTTATTTTTATATTATTATAAACATTAAAATATTGTAAAATGATGCAAGATGCACAGTCAGGACAGCAATACAAGTTTTTTTAAAAAAATGTGCTTGGGGGGGATTTCTGTTTTAGGGTTTACCTGGTGATTTTCGAAGTGCAAAGGGAAATCCTGGAGAGCCAGGACCTCAGGTGTGTAGCCCTTTTGGTTATGATTTGATGAGACTTTTAAAAAAAAGCTATCCAGTATTGTGGAAGCCTCTGTCAATCTCAGAAGTTTCAGTTTAAAATTAAACACATATTCTGAAAATACACGCTTTGATTTTCAAATCTGTTCCAAACCAGATTGTTTATGTTGATTCTATGAGGATGCCTCTTGGGAGTATTGTGTATTCATTTTCATATCTTCAGATTTGTTCAGTTGTGTTTCATTAGAATAAATACATTGTATGCTAGAAGAAGCATATAAACTTCATTAATCTATTTTATTCAGTGATGATGATGAAAATATATTTAATATTGAAAGCAGTGCTTTTCCTTTTTCTTATTTTTTTATATTAGGGTAGACCTGGAAAGGATGGTGTCCCTGGTCCACCTGGTATACAGGTAGCAAGAAAATCTGTCAACTGTGTTTTATCATTGTTGATAAAGTGTATGGATGCACAGTTGTGGCAAGGGTAGCTCAAGCTTGAAAATATATTAGCAGAACAAATTGCCATCTGTGTTCAGTCCTAGGATGCATAGCTTAAGAAGAACAGGGTTAGCAGCAGTAAACAAGGCAAAGCCGAAGAGCCAACATTCCATAAACTAGAGATTGTCCTCCCCTATCTTCCGTAAAGATGCCATTGATTTTGGAACCCAGTTAACGGAGGAAGGTTTCTGGCCAGACATGCAAATCCAGACCCCCATGTATCTTTTGGTATCATAGCTGATCACATTTTTTAAAAAAATGCTATTCATGCCTACTATTCCAGAGCAATACCCAAAGAAGCAAAGAAGTCAGGACCATTGTATGATGTGAAGCTAACCAAATCTTAATATTTAAATGTTCCATATTCAATCAATATTGATTTTCTAAACCATATGTTTTGGCAGTATCAATCTGCTGTTGGAGTCTAATGCACAACATCCCTTTTGAAACTTTTATTGGAACTTTTAAATTGGAATTGAAATCTAATGTACATCTTCCATTTGCAATTAAACCTGGAAATGAATCACATATGTGAAATCCTGGACTCATAATAAGTAATAAAAGTGGTTCAGTGTACTTCAGTATTCTAGTAAGGTCCACTCCCTCAAACTGTGTTGCAGATAATCTTAGCATGATATGAATTGTGTTTTGTTTCTGCAGGGAGAAAAAGGAGAACAAGGTTTGCGAGGATTGCCTGGAGAAGTCGGTCCTAAGGTAAAAGCTCTGCATGTTTTTTCAACCTATATTTGCATATTTTATATACCTCATTTTGCTTTTGTTGCTGATCAGTGCCTAAGAGTATTAAATCAAATAGGTAACATTTCCATTGTTTACTCAACTGTAAATATATAAGTTGTAACACTAATTTCTAGAATGATACAAATTATGTCATATTAACTAAGTTTTAAATCATTTTACCTCATGATCTCACTACTTCCAGCTAGAGTAGATTCTTTGATGCAATTGCTGGAAGTCAACACTCAATAAATTTCATTAATTCAGTGGGCTCACTGTAGCGGAATATATCAGTTGAGTTCAGGCCTTTATACTTCACCTATGAAAGTATTCCTCATCCTAGTCTTTAGAAAGTGTGAAGTCTGGTTATTAGTCCCAATGAATGAATGAAGTTTGTAAAGTCATCACTCAACTCCATTCATTTAGTGGGTCTACTTTAATTGGAGCAACAGATGAAGTTAGCCCAAAGCTGGTAGCCAACAAGAACCATGACAGAAAGAATTTCAACCATGTATTTGCAGGGATTTGCTGTTCCAGCAAAGGATATGTTCTTCAAAGGTTTAGTACCCAAATGCACACCGGGGGGGGGGGGGGACAAAATAAAATGCTAAGGGGAATGAAAATATGGAAACAGAGATTAGTGTCTAGGATATGCAGAAATGTCTAGAAGTGTTTTAATTTGTTTTTGTTTTTTTAGGGTGTCTTTCCAGTTCACTCTTAACATATAGCCCAAGTGGTCACTGATTTTACATTCATTGTTGCCAGTACTCACAGTCTCTAAGTGTCATATAATTTGAAAAATTATGATGTTTCTTGTATTTATTTCAACGTGACCACTTTTCATTTTCTAACTCAGGGAAGAAAAGGAGAAGCTGGCCGCCAAGGAATTCAGGGTCCAGTAAGTGCAAATTACATGTGACATAACATTTTGTTTTAAGACTTAAAATTAATAGTGTGTACTCACTAATAAAACTGTTGATCAGCATGAGATTCACATTTTTTGACAGGGATAGTTAAAATATATTTAATCATAAGCTGGTTTTGTTTGCTTTTATCACTTGGGGGGGAAATTAAATGTAAAACCCAAACAGTTCCATAACAACAATATGCTGAAAGGGCAGGGTGAGTGGGTGAGCATCTAGCCAAAAACTGGCTGGTCTGACTAGGAGCAGCGTGCTTTTATAGCAGGCATCTCTTGCTCCCTAAGTGCCCGGTGATGGGCAAGGAAAACATAAAAGGAAAACCAATATAAGAATTAATTGAAGTTTATCTTAGAATATTAATTTACCAAATCAAGTCATCACAGAACTGCAATTTATGTGTGCTATGCTTTTGCAGTACTGGCAGCAGTGCCTTTCTCTTCATTGTTATTATTTTTCTCTCCTCTTCTCTCTGTCTCTGTCTTTGTTTCTCTCTTTTTATTTAAGACAGAGTATTATGAGGAAGTGCCTGGTGAAAAAGGAAATAAAGGCTATTTAGGAATGCCAGGCTTGAAAGGCCAGCGTGGAGCACCAGGTGGGAGGCCATAAAGAGATTTTTGATTAAAGTCTGTTACCAAAAAAAAAAGTATTGTGGCAATTTTAAGAGGATCAGATTTATGTTATGGATTATAGGCTGACCTGTGAGGGCTGTGGAGTAGTCAAATGTATACAGCAGGATGCTCTATCTGCAGAATCAGTATCCATGATTCAGTTATTTACAGGTTAACGCAACCCTATATACAACATTAAAGGGGTGGGTTTTATGGCCTTCATCCTGCTCCCTTGTAGCCTTTTTCCCTCCTCCTATATTGAGTTTGCTACTATCTCCAGTTTCCAGCATTCACCATAGATCATGGAACGGATCCTCCACAGATACAGGAATCCTACTGTAACTATGTGCTTCACAGACACTTTGGGAAGGATTGACTATAACTTTATTTTTTACAGCTGGTGTAGCAGATGTATCTGCGACTGCCCAACTGCTCAAACAAAGCTGTGATAAAGAAAAGAAAATAACTCTGAGCAATTCCATAACAATAGCATGCTTCTGTGTCTGAACTACCAAGACATATCCTGCCTTTTGGAATTCCAGTGATTGGCAGGAAAAGGGGCACTCACACTGGGGCCCATACTTGCTGCAGAGGCCCCTAAAAAGCCATCTGGCTGCTGCAGTATGGGGGTTTCTCACTACTAATCTCCCATTCTACTGGCTGCAACTATGGCTTGGATTAATTTGTTGTTCTTTGTTTGTAATCCAGAAACATAGTGACATAAATCTGTTAGTCTTAACAATGCCAAAATGCTTCTGTTTTGCCACTGGCCATCCTATGTGGAGTTGTTAGTCACTGTAGTTCAAAATGCTTCTGTTTTGCCACTGGCCATCCTACAGTATGTGGAGTTGTTAGTCACTGTAGTTCAGAATATCTAGAATGCCAAATATTCCCTTAAACTAGTGGAATGAGTGGGTCCTTCTTATGCCAGCACTATTTTCTAGTTAGGCCTGGTGAGGTCTGTATATCCACTGAAACAGGGTGGCAATATCCTCAGTTGATGACATGCACTTTAACCAATTTTGTTAGACCTCCAGCATACCCTTTTTACTTGTCCCTTGCCTATAGAAGCTAGAAGTCTACTGATATTTTGAAATGGAAAGCAGAAATCATGCAAGCAATGTTCACAAACTCTTGGACATGATGGACTGTGCAAATAATTGCATACTCCATCAGATGTCTTGGTGGATGGTGGATGGCCCGCAAAAAGCCAAGACCACTTGTGCAAATGCTGTTATACACATGGTGTTTTATAGCAGAATTTTGTCCATCAAGTGTGTTATTTATCTATGAGGTCTGAAATGCAGAAAAGCATGAAAAAGAAGCTATTTACCATTTAGTCAGACTAGCCTAATTTTCTCAATGCTGATTGGCAACAAACCTTCAGAGATTTAGGTGCAAGCTTTTCCAGCCTCCCTGGATATATATGAGATTGAACCTGCAACTTGTATCTAACACGGGGATTATAATAGTGAAACAGAGTCCATGAAGATCTTGACATAAACTTAGCTGAAACAAATTGTATCTGCTGCTGGGTTTCAAGATCTGTTATGTGCATTGCATCCAAATATTCTAATTTTATTTAAACTAGTTATTTAAAATATTTTACCCTGTCTTTTTCCTTAAAAGGATCCTTTTGCCTTAAAGATACCTATACTTAAGAGTATATTAAAACGTTTTGGTCAATTGAATAATGAAATGTTAATAAAATTGGCTGCTTTGAAATGGACAATGAGAATCTGATTGTCCTCTGCTGGAAATGGTTTGATGCCATAAAATACATGTTGGTTTTAGTAGAAAATCTGTATAAATTAGTACAATTTACTTTCACATAACCATCCATAGGATTATGATGTAAGTGTGTTGCAGCTGACCATAACATTTTTTAAAAAACTATTAAGGAAAAGGGCACTAAAATAATAAACATTCATAATAATAAAATAAAAAATACTGTCATCTTGATATAGATGTGTAATTCGTATTTTGTTCTTGCAGGGCCACAAGGTCCCTCTGGTATCATTGGTAGCCCAGGTATGTATTGTTACTGTGATGGAAAAAATAACACAAGTGGCCCAAATTCTCTGACTTAGTTAGACGGGTGTAGCACAAATGACATAACTTTTCAAGGAGAGTTGCCCCCAAGTTAAGAAATCAGCATTGACATTATCAGTTGCATACTGATTTGTGTGACTCAGCATGCAGCTGATAATATCTATGTTGATTTCTTAACTTGGAACAGTTTGCTTCTAAAAGTTAAGCCATATGCATAGCCATGCAAGAGGATTTTGGCCAGAGGCAATTACTTACTACAGTTACTAAAAGCCTACTGTATACCACAAGAAAACATGTGGTTCTATTTTGACTTCAAATTAAATTCTTCTAAATGGCTGAAAGCACTAGTACACAAGAATTAAAGACAAGTGTAAAATGCTTTTAACCCGCTGTAAAAATTTGCCTTATAAAATCTTACATTAGGCATTTCACAACCTGGTCCAAGAGGTCTACCAGGTTCTCCAGGTCTGAAAGGAAGGAAAGGTGACAGAGGACAACCTGGCATGAATGCCATTGGACCACCAGGACTTCCAGGACCTCTCGGACAGCCAGGCCCAGCAGGGGCTGTAGGTCTTCCAGGACAACCAGGTAAAGATACATGACAATGTCATTATGTGTTTATCATGCCAGTCTGCAACACTGGATTTACCCCAACTGCATCTCTTACAGCTAAGAGCAACTGCAGCAGCAATTATTGATGCATTTCTTGCAAAGAAAACAAGAATGTTGGAAGATGGAACCTTTTGCACAACCAATTGTGCAATTTCTTGTGCAACAAAAGCTGTATTGGATGCCATCTCTGTACTGACTCTGAACATGTGCAGCCACTGGACCAACACATGTTGTAGCACTGACATCAGTGGACAAAGACTAAAAACATACATCTATTGCTTCAGGATTTTTTTTTCCTCCTGCACTAAGTACAACCAAGACACATAAGAGTGCAGGAAGAGAAAAGACTACAGCTGGTTACAAAGATCCCTATAGCAAATCAATGTTAAACAACTACAATAACATCAAAGGGGTAACTGATAGTAAATAAATGCCATTCCTCATTTGAGTTTCTCAAAATGTTAAGCATAGCTAGAAATATTTTTAATATCTGTGGCAACATTTATTTATTCATTCATTCATTCATTATTGCTTGATTGATTCATTCATTCATTCAGAACCTAATAAGGATAACTGACTCCCCTAGGAGTTCTATAAAGTAGATAGATAGATAGATAGATAGATAGATAGATAGATAGATAGATAGATAGATAGATAGATAGATAGATAGATAGATAGATAGATAGATAGATAGATAGATAGATAGATTCAAAAGTGCCTGGAATTATTGCAGCAGTGAAGACACTTATAATGAGATACTCAGATGAGTTTGGTAAAGCTTGTTACTGGTTATCTGGTTTCATTCTGGGAATAATCCTTTACTGGGGTGATGGCAGCTATGATCAACCATAGAACCTGTTCTTTGCCTGTAGGTCTATAAATCTCTGTCAGACTCCTGGGGGAGTCATTTATCTTTATCAGATTCAGATTAGTTATTTATTGCATTTCTATCCTGTCTTTCTCCCAACAGCAGGACTCAAGGCTGCTCATATAAGTTAGAATTGATTTATGTCTTCTTTGTTGTCAATGCTGTTATATAAATCTAGCTTAAAGGTTCTCTGAAACAAAGTCCAAATGGCTATAAATGGTCTTGTGAGCAAGATGTTAATCAAGTTTAATACATCTCTCCCACAAACAGGTAGAATAACTTTTGAAAGAGGTCCACAAGGATCCCCTGGAAGCCCAGGATGCATGGGGCCTCCGGGCCTTTCAGGAGAGATTGGAGCAAAAGGTTAGTTACCTTGCTTGCAAAGATATCTTCTAACCTTTAATAATATAAGAACGGCAAGGCAGCAGATAAAAATCATAGCCCCAGATCAAGGTGATGAAAAACAGACAATGTCAAGACTATTTGGGCAGAGCATGTACTTACTTCATTGTCGTCAGGTAAAGAGCAGTTGACCTTGGTTTTATTTTCACATGGAGCACATACACAGGAGTCAGACCAATGTTTGAAGTGCCAGTGAGTGCAGTTGACCTTGGTTTTATTTTCACATGGAGGACATAACAGGAGTCAGACCAATGTTTGAAAGCGTACCAATCTTTTCAAGTGCCAGTGAGTGTTTTATCCCACACCATGTGCAAATGTGTGTATGTGGCATATACAAGAGTTCTTGTGATTTAAAAATTACTGTACTGGACTTAGGTTACATTCACCAGCCAGCTATTAATCTTCATGTATTACACTGAATCATGATTCTGCACCATGTACAGTAGCAACAATAAGCCTTGGACTCACACACAGTTCTTCCCATCCCTTTTCCCTTGTGGGTAAAGCAGCAGTTCAACAGCTTTTGTTTCATCTGTAAATAACTTTCAGCTTTCCACATTGTCTAAGCTGAGAGCTGTTGTTAATATTTGCTAGGATTGGTTGCAGCAAGCTAGTTTCAGAAACAACAAATAGAAACTATAATGTTAACCACAGTTTCTCACGTAACAAACAATGGTTATAGGTGACAAAGAGAATATGCTTCCAGACTCCTTCTTCCAACTGCATCAGAGGACAGGGAATAGGTTAGTATAGCAAGCTGTGCCTTGTTGTGATTGGTCCTTGCCAGTGGCCCAGTAAGCATGGTGCTGAACCATAGACTAATCTGACATGTAAGTGCAGGTTTAGCATAATCAAACCCATAGATCTGTCATGAAGAGAAAATGGACAACCCATGTACCGTTGATGCTGCCCTGAGTATTTGAAAAAACGGTAGAATAAAAATTGGGAAAATGAGTCAATTGTTAAAAGCTATATAGGCACAGGCTCACTCTTGCTCGCTGTTTTTAGAGGTTGCCTGTGTTTATTATCCTTTCTGTGATGTAGATTAATAATGTTTAATTTGAGGAGATAATTACCTCAGTATCTGCTCCTGGGAGCTACCATATTTTTCAGGAAAAGCTCATGCCATTAGGGATTGGATGCACAAACATGAATTCACTTTATAATCCTTGACAACAAACTTGCCAAACATACTTGTGCTTTTAACAAAATGATTGTCTTCCTACGTAACTTCTAACATTTCATTGCAGGTGAAGAAGCAGGCCCATGTGACCAGTGTACCTATATCACAGGAGAACCGGGCCTTCTTGGTATACCTGGACCGGAAGGACAACAAGGAGTTAAAGGTAAAAGATGGTGGAAGTGCCTAAATATCATTAAAATGTATCATTATTTTAAAACAAGTGAAAATCTCTGTTTGCTAATATGTTCTTATTTGTAGATGAGTTTATTCTCTGATGTCAAATAGATTATAAATTAATAACAGGACTTAGATTAATTTAGAATAAATAAGAATAAATAAGTCCTTAGAATATTTAGAATAAATAAGTCCTTAGAATATTTAGAATAAATATGTACCTTCCAACTCAGTCCTGGAATCCCATATTATACTGCCAGAGTGTTCTATGTTAAGCTTTAGAAATGACAAAATGGTGTAAGAAATCAGCTTCTGTTAGCAGAATGGTGCATTAACCCAATCCACTAAAATTAATGCTGCAGGCAAGAGGTTCAGGATAAAACAAAATCTTGGTCCACTTTTCTTGAGAAAATCGTAAAGGATACACCTATCTGTATTACCAACTTATAAAGCAGAAACAAGGGCAAACCAATCTCAGATTCATTTTTAATACAGAGAAAATGTCCAAGCACTATAATGTCTGCTCCTCTGTATGTTCTTTCTCTGTTCATGCGCTGAAAGGATCAAGAGATTAATGAAATACATTATATACAAAACAGTCATTAGTACAAAATAGTCATCAAAGTACTGTATTGATGGAAGTAAAGAATTGCCATGGTGTTATATACTAATAAATTAAGGAAGCAGAGGTGGCATTTTCCAAGCATAACTAGAGTAACATGGGTGCAAAACACCTTTATTCATATTGGGCCATTACAGTACCGTATTCTTCAACTGCTAGGAGATTTGGCTTTAGTCCACAAAGCATCAACTAAATGTAATCTCCCACTCCTCTGATATGGGGCTTGTCCTGCTCCTGAGCGTCTTTATGCCCAGCAAAGCAGTAGCTATCAATTCAAGACCACAGGAAATACTCTAGGTCAGCCATTCTCAACCTTTTTGGCCACAGCCCTTTTAGGAGCTCTTCTCAGGTTCCAGGGCGCCCGTCAAACAAGGGTACAGCATGAACAGATATATCTCAGAAATTTCTCACATGTTTCAGTCTGTGACCCCTTTTAAATGTGCCAGGGCAGGCATATTCCGCCCCCCCCCATTGAGAATGGCTGCTCTAAGTGATTAGAAATTCTTTGTCTACAGAGACAAAAAGGTGGTCCTGCAGGTGGTCCTGCATTGCCTGCAAAACCAGATACCTCAAGCTAAAGTGACATGCTTGGAGTCTTTGTCTTGGGGCTTACTTTTGCAGAGACCTTGAGAATGAAACACAATTTTTAGGACTATTCTGTTGCTTCCCAACCCCCCTCAAGCTGTGCAATGTCCAGCCTGATGAAGAGTCTAGCTGGATCCAAAAAGTCACCTGTTTCTAATATTTTAGCGGTCTATTAATCACATTTCCCCCCTTTCTTGTTCATGTATGAATGATGCCTTTCAAGGACATTTTTAGTGGAGAGATTGTGCTGTCTGTATTTTCAGAGGTCTAAAAGGAGGAAATGAAATGCATTATTTTTAATCATCTTTGCTTTCCTTGCTTTGCAAATCAGTCTGATTGCATCTATTTGAACTACTTGCTATCTGAATTTGATCACAGATGTAGTCCAGTAAGTGATCTGAAGGGCCCCAATCTGGGACAAATGTGAAAGGACCTACAGCAGTTGCCTGATTACTTCAGCCTGTTTTGCATCCTATTAAGTCGTGGTATTTCCATTGCAGGTGTAGAAGGAAGGTTTGGCCCAAAGGGGTCTCAAGGATCCCAAGGGCGGCAGGGGCCACCTGGAATTCAAGTAAGGTTCATATTAGATTGCTTTTATAAGTTGTTTATGTGTATTTGCTGCTTTAAATAATGGACTTTTCTGAATTGTAAAGACAGAGATGTGGTTCTCTGGGGCCTTGTGATACTGGTCATAAAAAGGCATCACTCTTTTGGCAGATGGAATTTCCATGGACGAGGATGAAGATTTACATTATTTATATTGCTAGTCACTCTGTAACACAGGTTTTCTGGGTAGCTCACAAAACAAATGCAATACTAAAGTGCAATGCAGAAAATCCTGTTCCATATATTGTACTACATAAGGCCATGGAGATTCCCATATACATATACCATATAAGAGCTGAGCTAAGACTTTATGTTGGTACAGCTTCAGTGCCACCGGGACAAAAAGCCCTCCCCTAGTTCGTAAAAACTGATCTAAATTTTTTCAGTCCATCCTACAAGTTCCCCTAGGTGTCCCTCATGCTCTTGTATGTTTAGAACTGGGTCAAATGAAAATAGAAGCTAGAATACTAATATCTTCTTTATGTTAATGGCTTAAGATTTTCTCAAACCAAAAAGGCCTTCCTTTGATAAAACAATACTCCTTTTAACCTAGATGGATACACTCTCTTCAAAGCAGCCTAGGAAGTTTGGGTCTTTCACCAGATGATCTACTGGTCTAGAGTATTACACAAGTGAAATCTCTTGTCACACAAAAGGTTCAGGATATAGAGCGTCAACGTGATATAGCACAATCTCCTCTTTTTAGGGCCTGTACTGTGGCCAGATATATCATGAGCATGGCCAGGTGTATTTCAGAGCTGGAAGATCCCATCTATAAGAGAATGTTAATTTTTACTCGCTGCTCAGCTATCCTGTCAAAGGTTCTTGAAGGGAGATACAGGAAGAGGATTTATGAGGACAGATGCTACCTATGCCCTCAAGGGGAGGTGGAATCAATGGTGCATATGTTTTTCCATTGCCCCTTTCATCACCTACATAGGAAGAGATTTATCCTGCCATGTTTACATAGATTAAGAGCAGATGCAAATGAGGGGGGTTTGGAAAGACTTTTAACTGATGAAAACTCTTTTATTACTAAACAAATAGTTAAATTTTGCTTATATTTGATTAAATTTCATATTAAGAAGATGGGTTAATTAGAAGGTTTAAATTCTAAATTATATTTTAAACTTTGAATTTTGAATCATATGTAGATATCTCATTATATTATCAGGGTATTATCCTGTAACTGTGCTAGATGTAGTCGTATGTTTTTATACTGCAATAAAATTCATTCATACCACTTAAGGCTGATAAAGTCCTCAGCTGTGGTGATTTTTTTCAGAAAGAAAATATTTCCTATTCTTCCTGCCACCTTCAAAAGGTCCCTAGGTTCCCATGGAATACTTTACTGCAGGAGAAGTCACTGTGTGCTGCGGAACTGGGGGAAGTCGTTCATCATCAAAATTTGCCACTACTGGGATGACTTTTGGCACTGGCAGCAATTTTCAGAAATCACTGACTTGTCCCATGGCTCCTGATGGCTTTCCTGTGATGAAGGGGAGTCTTTGAGAGTCTTGGAACCTTAGGAGAGGGAGTCAGAAATTGTTTTATTTTAAAAAAAATCCATGACTGATTAGATCATCAACCCTATGCAGTATAGCTGTGCAGACAGGATTTCAGACACTGAGTGATGGTTCTGATCCATGTTTTAATGAGCCAAGACACTACCCACAGGCACACCTGCTTTGGAAATATCTAAACTCAGACAAATTTTGAAAACAAAAACGATCTAATGCTGTTCTCCCATCCCTTTGGAGCCTTTGTGGGTTTAGGGGAGCTCTGTGACCTTACAAAACATCAGGTGTGTTTTTTTCCTGTGAGGAAGAATTGGGGAGTCTGTGGAAATGTGGAGTATATCAGAAACATCATTTGGGGACCACACTTTTCTCACAGGCTGTAAAACATTGCTGCTGTAAAATATGAGTTTGTTAAAAGGCCTGGCTAAGTACAAGATCTTGATGTACGGCTAAAAAGACCAAGAAGATAACAGGTGAAATTCTCTAGGAAGATTTTTTTTTCATAACCAGGATGTCACTATCAAAAATACCTTCTCTCTTACTACATTTGGTGTAGTAGTCTGCTCTGCTCATATGAAGATAAGATTTCGGAAGGTACATAGAGGAGAAGGCAACCTTTCCAGTAAATTGGTACCTAACCATTTAAGGCTGTAATGGTCCAAATTTAAAGTAGGCCCTGAAGCACTGCTGACAAAGCACAAGCATAACATGGTGAAAATACCCAATCCTAGTTAATGATCTGGTAGGTGTATTCTGGACCAGCTCCATTTCCTGAACCATTTTTAGTTCAGCCTTACAATCTAATGCATTGTCAGACAATTACTAATTGAGGATGCTTTCTGCTCATGTAACTGTTTTACATATGAAAATAATTACTTCATGGGAGAACTTGGAAGGAATTGTTTTTCCCCAAGCACAGGTTTTGTGTTTTATTCTGCTCTGCCTATCATACATTTTATTAATGAAATCTGACCTAGGGATTCCCAGGTCCCGCAGGACAGCAAGGTCTTAAAGGATCAAAAGGTGAACCAGCCTATATTGATCCAGAAGGTCCAAGCGGAGACACAGGAGACCCAGGACTGAGAGGGAGACCTGGAGAAAATGGATTGGATGGGTTACCTGGAAAACCTGGACTGAACGGCGCAAGAGGTTCTATGGGAACAAAGGTTTGTATAAGCTACAATAAACTGAAAATGACATGAATGGTATAATGTACCCTTTCTGTGTCCATATATCATATATTAGTGTTTGTTCGATTGCATTTATGATATCTGAAAAATGTCCGTGTGAAAACTGCAGACAACATAGATGCATGACTGTAGTGAATTTTTTAAAAAAAATAAGTTTGTATATAAGACTTTGTACATAAATATTTTTAAAAATGATACAGGGATGGTACTACCATTAGTCACAGCGAGGCAGCCACCTTAGGCAAGCAGCAGTTTTGGGGTGCTGTATAAGGGCAGTAAATAGTAAGGCTGGCATCTGAAAAAGTAGGCCCCATGCCAAATAAAATGTGTTAGCCTTTGAGGTACTACAAAATTCTTTGTTGGTTTTGCTACCACAAAATAACATGACCATCCCCTTGAAAACGTGGTATTATAATGCTTTTATATTTCACAGACAGGGAGTGGCACCTGTGGGATTCTCTTCCTTATATGCCAAAATAATATGGCTGGCTTTGGGTAAAATGTAGCTTGATATAGATGGAAATGCCATATGCTACTCAGCCGTATACAGAAAAATGATTTCATCTGAGCCAATTTTAAGGCAATCTCCTGGAAATCTGTGATGACTAAAATAAAGTTGTCATATTATTTATTCTTGCTTCAAGGGTCATTGGTGAAACACACTGTAGGAGGAGGAGAATGTAAGTGGCAAATGCAGACTATGTCTACAAAAAGATCTGAAACATATTTTCTGTATGGTAGACCTGCAGAATTTGATAGGACTTCATAAATGTATGTATTTGTAAGATGCATTTTCAAGCAGTATGTATTTTTGTAAATAAAAGAATGGAATATAGGTATTGTACATATTGTTTTCCAGAGTTTCTTTTCCTAAGAGAAGCAAAGTGTGAACATTCACACTGTGTGAAATTAGTTCTTCTTCCCACGTTGCCACAAGCAGGGCTGGAGCTACCAGTAGGTGAATTAGGCAATCGCCTAGAGCGTAGACCTGAGAGGGGAATAAAACTGACCTCAGAAGTTCACAGAACTGACCCGAGGGGTGCAGAACTGAACTCAGAGGAGCACAGTCTTATACAGACTAGTTTCTTGAAGAAATGCAACTGAAAATTACTGGATTACAATTCCAGTGGGAAGGAGGAGGCTGCAGCAGAGAGACAGAAGGGGAAAAAGAGGTTGTCATGCTGGTGTTTTCGTAAAGTTGAGTATATCTCCACACAAGCCTCCAATTCCAAGCCTTTTTCTTACCAACGCAAGACCTTTTGCTAACAAAATGGATGAATTAAGGATGCAGATTGTAAAGAGCAAACTTATTAATGACTGATATGTTTTGCTAATCATAGAAAGCTGGTTTCACTCTTCTATCCTGGACACAGTGGTTGAGCTGGAGGGCTATATATAGCTCACTGACAATACAGGAGCAAGGATACTGGAAAGAGTAAAGGAGGGGGTTTATGTCTTTGAGTATATATAGCTCACTGACAATACAGGAGCAGGGATACCGGAAAGAGTAAAGGAGGGGGTTTAAGTATTTGAACAAAAGCTGGTGCAGAAATACAAAGATTGTTGATAGCCATTGCTCTAAGGATTTGGCGTATATGACTGTTAGATGTAGACCAATATAGCTTCCATGGGAATTTAATGTGATCTTGATTACTGCAGTCTATGTTCCACCTGATGCTAATACCAGTGCAGCTTTGGGACTCTTGTATAATATGGTGGACAATCAGCAGAACAGGAATCCTGATGCTGCATTCGTTATGGCAGGGGATTTCAACCACGTCAAATTAAAGACTATATTACCTAAGTTTTACCAGCATGTTAAATGTGCTACCAGAAAAATGAACACGCTGGACAAAGTATATACCAACATTAAACATGGCTATAGGGCTATATAATTACCACGCTTGGGACATTCAGATCATATGTCACTGTTATTGGTGCCAGTGTACATTCCTCTCAGAAAACAGACGTTGCCTATAATAAAGACAGTGGAATCGTGGCCTAAAGATGCTTCACAGCAACTTCAGGACTGTTTTGAGAAAACAAATTGGGACAGTTTCTGTCATGCGGACCTGGAGAAGTACACGGCAGTTGTTCTATGCTATATTAAATATTGCATATATACTGTTACTGTGGATAAAGTCATATGGATCTATCGCAATCAGAAGCACTGGATGACTAAAGAAGTCCAGTGCCTTTTGCATGACAGGAACAATGCCTTCAGGTCTGGTGATGGGGAAAGATATAGTGCTGCGAGAGTCGGGCTGAAGAGAGGCATTCGGCAGGCTAAGAGAGATTATAAAAGCAAAATTGAAGGGCAGTTTCACAATAACAATGTGAGGCAAGTGTGGCAGGGGTTTCAGCAAATAACTAATTATAAATCAAATAATGTCATTTCTGCTGAGGCTGAAGCTTTATTGGCTGAGGAATTGAATCATTTCTTCACTCGTTTTGAAGTGCGACTACCAGACACAGCAAAAAGACAGCCACTAGTTCACAGCAATTTCTCTCTCACTGTGGAGGAGCATGAAGTAAGGAAAGCTCTGACGGCTGTGGATCCTAGAAAGGCTACAGAACTCAATATCATTCCTGGTCGCGTGCTCAAAGATTGTGCTCATCAGCTGGCTGGGGTTTTCACCAAGATTTTCAATGTATCTTTATCACAGTCTATTATTCCATCCTGCTTGAAGGCCTCCATTATTGTTCCACTGTCAAAGACGAGCCCTATTAACCTCATTAATTATAGACCAGTGACACTTACGTCTAACATCATGAAATGTTTTGAAAAATTGGTACACAAGCATATTATCTCTAGTCTTTCACCTAAAATGGATAAATATCAGTTTGCATACAGAACTAACAGATCTATGGAGGATGCCATAGCTATTACTCTCCACATTTCCTTGACCCACCTAGAACAGTGGGGGACCTATGTGAGGATGCTTTTTGTGGACTTCAGTTCTGCATTTAACACAATCCTTCCATATAGATTGGTGTCCACGCTCACAGAGCTTGGGTTTTCACATTCAATTTGTTCTTGGATTTTTTTCTCTGGCCATTCCCAGAGGGTTAGATTGGAGAATTATACCTCCTCAGCTCTCATTCTTAACACTGGCACACCACAAGGATGTGTGTTGAGCCCTTTACTTTACTTGTATACATATGATTGCACACCCATCATCAAAATAATATTATTCCCAAATTTGCAGATGATACAAGAGTGATAGGACTTATTTCTGAAGGGGATGAGTTAGCCTATTGAGATGAGGTGAATTGATTGCTCTCGTGGTGTGATGATAACAACTTGACCCTTAACATCAAGAAGATCAAGGAGCTTATAGTAGACTATAGAAAAGATAAATCAGATATTCAGCCATTAGTTATAAGTGGAGAGCAAATGGAATGGGTAACCAGTTTTAAGTTTCAGGGTGTTATAATCAAGGAGGACTTGTCCTGGGGCACTCATATTACAGTAGTGGTTAAGAGGGCCCAGCAGAGATTATATTACCTGAGACTTCTCAGGAGACAACAACTGAATGGAAAAATGCTGGTGACCTTCTATTCCTGTATCATAGGGAGTATTTTAACCTATTGCTCTGGTATATGGCTTTCCAACTGTACAATGGCAGATAAGAAAACACTCTAGAGGATTATTACAATGGCCCAGAGGATCATTGGCTGCCCTCTTAGCTCTTTGGAAGATCTATAATTCCCGATATCTTAAGAAAGCCCAAAATATTCTCAGAGATCTATCACACCTATGGCCCAGAGGATCATTGGCTGCCCTCTTAGCTCTTTGGAAGATCTATAATTCCCGACATCTTAAGAAAGCCCAAAATATTCTCAAAACAAAGACAAATAGGGAGAAAAACAGTTTCTATCCCAGAGCTGCAGGTATATTGAATTCCACTGTATGATGGGAAATTGAATGTGAAGGATGTGGATGTGAATGAGAGGGATGTGTTTTATGTGTAATGTGCTATGTTTTCATGTTATGGATGCTATGTTCTTGTGTATTTTATTATTATGTGTACTGAATATGGCATTTAATTTCGTTGTACTGAAGTACAATGACAATAAATAAAATAAAGTAAATTCAGTACACAAGATCAACAAAAATGTACTGAAGATGTACTTAAGGCCTGCAAGAATTTGGAAAAATCATTGATGCACAATGAAAACAAAGATATTGATGCTGAAGATCTGTGCTGTGAACTTACAGCAATAGCTCCAAGACTTTCAAAGTCTATGCCACCACAAGGAGTACTTCTCTTCATAGTGCAACAAAAACTCCTGGATAGTGCAGTTAATGTTTCTGTTGCTCTAAGGATCCTTCTCACACTTCCCAGTGTCAGTGGCTAGTAGTGAATGCAGTTTCTCAAAGTCCAAGCTTATAAAAACATATTTACGGTCAACAATGCTGCAAAGTAGACTATTTATTTATTTATTTATTTATTTATTTGATTTTTATCCCGCCTATCTGGACCAACGGTCCACTCTAGTTGGTTTGGCAACAATATAAACTGAACATGCCGAAGCATCAGCCATTGCCCTGAAGGAATCAGTGACAACATTTGCAAAAGAAAAGGCACGCAAAATGAGATTTTTATGTGGCAAAAGTAGAAACATTTAAGAGACATTGCAATTCATAGGATTATTCAAAATGATTTGTGTGCTAAAACTGTTTTGTATTTGAGAAAGAAAACTGAAGCATGTACAGAGTTCCTATTCCAGTCCTCTGAAGATGCCGGCCACAGAGACTGGCGAAACGTCAGGAAGAACAACTTTCAGAACACGGCCAAAGAGCCCGAAAAACCCACAACAACCAAAATTGAAGACTATTGTTCTCTTCATTTTTTAAAAAATAAAAATTTCACAATTTCAACTTTTGTACTTTCTTTTTTTCCCCTACAGTTTGTCTGTTTTAAAAAATTGGTGTGGGGGGGCGCAAGTAGTTAGTCTTGCCTTGGGTGCAAAAAAAGCCTGATACCAGCCCTGGCCACAAGACATATCCTCATTGCTGAAAAAGACTCAGCATGATCTGCTACTCTGGCATTAAAGCAACAAGTGCTAACTGGTGTTTTATAAATTATTCATAGGGATCTGATGGCCCAAAGGGGGACAGAGGAGCACCAGGATCTGTTGGTATCCCAGGTCTTCCTGGAGAAATAGGCCCATCTGGACCACCAGGATATGGACCCCAAGGAACTGAAGGTTCTAAAGGATCTCAAGGAAATCCTGGTTTGCCTGGGTTTCTTGGAGAATCTGGTCAGTAGAACTTAATTTTATAACCGTTGTCATAATTTAGAAGGATTGGCTGTTGTTTGTGGTAGACTTAAAAGCAAGGGTGGTAGTAACTTTATGTACCCTCAATATAAAATAAAGTCTAGACAGCTAAATAAAATTCTATCAAGCAGCTGCAAAACAAAAACAAAGGTTTCTCTGATGGCTTCCTTGCTGAGATCAGAAATCCAGCCTGGAAGAAGTGATGGGAGAGCATGTTTGATGTTTGACGGGAGAGGGAGAGGACTGGAGGTCTCCTAGAGTCACAGCTCCCATCAGTGCTCCCAACATTTATGGAAGAATTCACAACTCCCAACATTACTCCACTCGAAACTGGTCCAAATGAACTCCACCTCATTACTTCGAATGTTTTTTTAAAAGTAAAAGTAAACCCATAAGCAAACAACTGTGCCATTAATTTCTCTCTGTCCAGAAGAGCCTGGGGGATTTTGGAAAGACTGGAAGCACTGATTCCAGAAAGTTGCATCTTTTGGGCTTCTTTCCCTTCTGATTGGTTTCTAAGGTGCTTAATGTAACTTTACACGGTGAAGTTAACATTGCTATAACTGTCTATAGAAACAAATAAAATGAACTTCTGAAATTTCCCGAAACTTAGAACATTAGGTTTGACCATTAGTATGTTAATGCAAACCATTAAAGGTTGAAAGATCAAGATGCCCTCTGAAAATATTTAATTTGTTAAATTAGCATTATTAATCTGTTAATTAAGTTTTTAATTCTGAAATAAACAGGTGGGATTTATAGGGTTACCACACTGCTGACTTCTAATGACATGTTTATTGTTGGTTCCTTCAAAATTACTTCTGTTCTTTTTGTTGCTTTTAAACAGTGGTTCCCAACCTTCGATCTCCAGATGTTCTTGGACTGGAACTCCCAGAAATCCTGGCCAGAACAGCTAATGATGAAGGCTTCTGAGAGTTACAGTTCAAGGACATTTCCTGAATCAGACAAATTCTTTTAGATGAATAACAGGTGCAGTTGTTACTTGGGGTTGATGGATCCAGTATGCCTGAAGATCGTCAGGTTAGGAAAAGCTATCTGCTCTAAAATATGAAACCTCAGCTTCCTACTCCACTCCCCAGGAAATTTATTTGGAGATAGTTTAGGGAAGGAGTCACTTAAATAATCCCATATTATCTTTGACTTCAAGTCAGAAATTGGCTTGGCTCTAAATGCAATCTTCCAAAAGCACATCTTAAATTAAATGATTCATGGGAGACTAAAAGCCACTAGTTTTCCATTGTATGACTGTCCTGTGACAATGGTCATTATCATAGGAAATTGGTTTTGTTGTTTAGTCATGAAGTCGTGTCCGACTCTTCATGACCCCATGGATCAGAGCACGCCAGGCCCTCCTGTCTTCCACTGCCTCCCGGAGTTCGGTCAAATTTGTGTTGGTCGCTTCAATGACACTGTCCAAACATCTCGTCCTCTGTCGTCCCCTTCTCCTCCTGCCTTCACACTTTCCCAACATCAGGGTCCTTTTCAGGGAGTCTTCTCTTCTCATGAGATGGCCAAATTACTGGAGCCTCAGCTTCAGGATCTGTCCTTCCAGTGAGCACTCAGGGTTGATTTCCTTCAGAATTGATAGGTTTGTTCTCCTTGCAACCCAGGGAACTTTCAAGAGTCTCCTTCAGCACCACAATTAAAAAGCATCTGTTCTTTGGCAGTCAGCCTTCTTTATGGTCCAGCTTTCCTTCATTGGTTACTGCAAGCTTAAGAGCCATGCAGGACACTTGAAGATGAGAGAAGGTTTTCTTTAATACTGTGCAATAACTTTTACAGTCTGAACTAAAGTATAAAAGTAGTCCAAAAGCAATTATTGGCTGTCTATAGAGTGACTCCCAAATGAAGGATAATACTGTGCAATAACTTTTACAGTCTGAGCTAAAGTCATATATATAAAAGCAGCCCAAAAGCAAGTATTGGCTCTCTATAGAGTGACTCCCAAATGAGGGATCAGATGTTGTTGGACTACAACTCCCAGAAGCCAGCCAGTCTTTTACTGGAACTTTGGGAACAGCTTTCTCTGTAGGAGAATAAGCATATATGTACTGTATGTGTCCTCTGCCGAAGGCGTACCAATGGTTATGCCTGTTTGAAAGAAGAAAGTAACAGGTATAACATGAAAATGCTAAATTTGGCATATAATATACTTACTTAAATCTGAAATTGCTTGCATGCTTTAAAATATGTGTTAGACTGTAATATGTACATTGGTTAATTAAAATGATAGAATAGTAGATAGTCAGGTGAAACATGAAGCAATAAGGAACGAAAACACACTCATTTCAGAGATGTATTACCTTATGTAGATGGTTGTGTCCAGGTACAGGACATGAAGTGCCGGTTTTGCAAAGTATTTTATTTTTTATTAATCAGTACTGAGGTACTGTATACACCAGTAGAAAACCAAACAAGCTGGCTAAAGGAAAGAGAACAACTGTGTTCATCAATATAACCCCCAAATGTAGAAATTATCTTTTTGGGCTACAGCTCCTAGCTTTCCCAAACCACATGGATATTGGCCATGTCAGCTATAAGATTACTTTCCAAAACTAACTAAGATTTGTATAAACTTAGTAATTTCTGTGTCCAGCCTCATCTCCTAATGGCATTTAAATGCACTTCTGACTAAAGTAAAGGTAAGCAATTGCTTATCGGAACCTAAAGGGAAAATATCCAGGGATCATAATTCTCAGTAGACTATCAGAAGGCACTGGTCTTGTGATTTTTCAGATTTGTGTTTTGTATCAGCCTTCTTACCCACTCATTCCTGAAGCTAGTTTGGTCAATTGACTACAGACTTGAAATACAAAGTGAACCATTTTGTTTCCTTCTAGCATAAATATGATCTGCAATTAGTTCTCCTTTGCAGAAGTTATTACACTGATATATTTGAAATGCATAAAACTGAAAAGTATCATTGTCCCTGATGGATTTCAACATAAAAAACACTGACATATTCTACTCATTTTTGTTGCTGTTGTTCTCATTCGCTTCTAAGGTCCTAAAGGTGAGCCTGGTAAGGCCATTGCAATCCCTGGGCCCCCTGGACTTCGAGGACCAGATGGTAGACCTGGGCTACAAGGAGTAAGAGGTAACGGTTACTTTTTCAAGTTTTTGCAAAGCTAAACCTATCTAAATGGTATGTATAACTGGCTGGATAGCTGAGTGGTTTCAGTATCTGGCTGCAGAGCCAGAGGTTGGAATTTCATTTCCCCACTGTGCCTCTGGTGAATAGAGCCAGCCTGTGTAGCTTTGGCAAGCTGCAGAGATTTAGATACCACCAGAAGAAAAGAATGATAAATCATGTCCAAGTGTTCTCTATCTGGAAAACCCTGAAAATTGTTGCCACAAGTCAAAATTGACTTGACATGATTACTTTTATTAAAAGGGATGTATAAAAATAAAAGTTTTCTACCATGATTAAATAAGCCAAGCTCTGGCTGTTATCCAGATAAACAGTCTATGAAGCAGTACTATATAGAACAAAAGCAGAGTCAAGCAAAGTTTTGCCAGTGAGGAGCAAGAGGTGCCACATGCCTAGGAGACAGATGTTATGAGCAAAACATGTCCAGACATGGATAATTTCCATAAGCAGGGAGATTACATTGATAGTTTGTCCAGTTAGTAATAGAGACATCATCTTTTATCACCATTCCTACATCATATTTTGTTGCATAAACAATCAGAAATAAGACAGTCCTATGAGAAAACCAACAAGTTTGTATTCCTTGGAACATTATACATTGATGCCCCTTCCATCCCTGGCTTTGAAGAAAACTTGTTTTGAAAGGGCTAGGACTAGCATTTGATATCTGTTAGAACTACTTTCCATTCTTGGACAGGAAGCCCTGGACCTAGAGGACAGCGTGGTGATCTAGGTCTTCCAGGACCAGAAGGTGATCCAGGCTTAACACAGATTGGATTTCCTGGTTATCCTGGTTTGAAAGGTAAAGTCTTTTGCTACTTATAGGAAAATAAAAGAGACATAAAACAGAATTACACCACAAATGTGAGATTTAATAAAAATTAGAGATTTAGAGACAGACAGACAGACAGACAGACAGACAGACAGACAGACAGACAGACAGATAGATTGATAGATTCATCGATTGATAGATTGATAGATAGATTGATAGTGATTGGGTTAAAGTAATGATCTGCAACCCAGAGGCATTACAGAGTATGTAGTATTTAAGGAATGTTGACTTGTACTGTTGCTGAAGGCTAGACTAAGAGTAGATGTTGCGAGCGAGAGAGCGAGAGAGCGAGAGAGCTTGGGTTAAAGTAATGAACTGCAACCCAGAGGCATTAGAGGGTATGTAGTATTTAAGGAATAAGTTGACTTGTACTGTTGCTGAAGGCTAGACTAAGAGCAGATGTTGCAGTAATTACTTTAAAAATTTGACCCTATTGACCACAAAAAAACATTATGCGAGGCACCACTGTACTTTAGAAATTTGACCCTATGGACCCCCTTGATGTCTTCATTTTAGCAAAGAAAGACATAAAATGTCTCTGTGTGCACACACATATATTTTAAGTAGATTATGGCCAGAATTTTGACTTACAGTAATGTAAGTCAAATTGTGTAAACTGTATTCCTGTATTCTTCTGTATTCTAAAAACATTATGCGAGGCACCACTGTACTTTAGAAATTTGACCCTATGGACCCCCTTGATGTCTTCATTTTAGCAAAGAAAGACATAAAATGTCTCTGTGTGCACACACATATATTTTAAGTAGATTATGGCCAGAATTTTGACTTACAGTAATGTAAGTCAAATTGTGTAAACTGTATTCCTGTATTCTTCTGTATTCTGTAGTTTATGCAGTCTTTGGAGGGAGCAGGAAGAGGAAGATCAAGTAGGAAATCATGGTAACAACAGTACTGTCCAGCTGCAGATTGCATGCTCACTGCCTGTTGTCCAGTCAGTGATGATAATGTGTAAAGCAACGGTGTTAACCTAATCATGATTTGGAGAAGAGAGAAATCTAACCAAGAATCTCCTCAAAGCTAGTAATAGGGGACAAGAGGAACTCAATAGCCTCAACCCTATGACTGTTTTCTACACCTGAATGCTGCAACACTCAAGTTTTGTCAATTCACAAAATTTAATTAACAAGGAAAATGTCATAATGCTAGAAAGTACATACCATGCAGCACAGGTCTATGAACGCATATTGCCTAATATTTCTGTTTAATTAACAAGGAAAATGTCATAATGCTCAAAAGTACATACCATGCAGCGAAGGTCTGTGAACGCATGTCGCCTAATATTTCTGTATTTATTTTTAGGAAATAAAGGATCTCAAGGACCTGAAGGACCACCAGGTTGTCTAGGAAAAACAGGGGAACCGGGTTTTCCTGGAATACCTGGAATTCCAGGAGGAAAGGTTAGTTTGGCAAGTGACTAAGAGTGTGACTACACAACAGGAACGATACAAATTGATCCACTGTGAACTCACACCTAAGTAAGAAGTGTGGTTTCCCCAGGTGAAGTTGCTTTAGCTGATCACACAGGAGTCAACAGAAAGACAGGAGGAAATTGACTCTCACCACCAGCTGTCCTGACTGGGGTTTCTGGGAGTTGCAGTTCAAAAGCATCCGAGTAACAAAGGTTAAGAACCACTGGTTTAGCTGATCACACAGAAGTCAAAAGAAAATTGACTCTCAGCCCTTGTTTATAGCTTGTTAAGGCAGCTTCTGCTTTAGCCATCCAGATTTGCAACAGCTACACCTAGAATAGAAACTCCCTTAACAAGATGCAAACAAGGGCTGATTGGCAATTTCCTCCACTCTACCTTTATTTTCCCCCTTTGGTCTCCTAGGTGCTCTAATGCAACTTCGTTGAAGCTCTGGCATCAAGCTTCGCAAAGCAAACGAGGGCTGATTGGCAATTTCCTCCACTCTACCTTTATTTTCCTCCTTTGGTCTCCTAGGTGCTCTAGTGCAACTTCATTGAAGCTCTGGCATCAAGCTTCAAAAATAAAATAAATTACATTATTAGTAGAGATTCAAAGTCTCCTTGCTGGTCTCTTAAGACATTTACAGCACAATTTTGTGTGTGTCTGTTCAGAACTCAACTCCTTGAAATGGGAAGAGAAGAGGAAAACAAGTAGGCCTAGGCACCATTTTTTATATTATGTGCTTGTTCTTAAAATTATCGGTTTAAATGGCAAAAGTTTGGGTAGAAGATAATTCAGACTGAAGCCTGTTTCCCATCTGAATGGGTGTTCCTTTGACTCTCTTGTTAATGCAGCTGGGTGGAATAGCTTGGAACAGAATGGTTACAAACTCCTCCACGGAAGGTTCCCTGAAGCCTGTTTCCCATCTGAATGGGTGCTCCTTTGACTCTCTTGTTAATGTAGCTGGGTGGAATAGCTTGGAACAGAATAGCTACAAACTCCTCCAAGGTTCTGAAACTGTATACATCAGCATAAGTGGTCACACTGTCTGAACCAATGTGAATGCATTCATTTAAAAAAAATGTGGAGGCCCAGTGGAGGAGGGAAAAATGAACTGAAAGAGAAAACATTAGATTGGTTCACATGGACTTGAACATTGTGTAGTCAATGGAAAATAATATGAATCTGACTCCAGTCTTGGAAAAATTCCCATATTATTTCCCAATGTGGTCACTCCCTAAGTGACCTTTAACTGGAAAAGTCTTCAATGATCTCAAGAGCAAATGCACCATACCTGTTTAGGCCATGTCTGTGCTAATATAGTTCATTTTGTTTTTTGTCCAGCACTACTTGGAAGTTATCTTTATACAGTATATATCTTCCAGTGAATTAGGTATCTGGTGACAGAGTTCCCAACTGTGTATTCCAGAAGAGTTAACCTGTATGGCCTTGGGCAAGCTGCACAGCCCCAAAATGCCTCCAGAAGGAGGGTATGGTATAGGACTTCTAAGTGCTATCTATCTGGAAAACCCTGGAAAGGGTCTCCATAAGTCAATATTGATATAACAGCACACAACTATTATTATTATATCTTCCACAATTTACTTCCCACTCCTGCAATTAAGAACTCCAATTTTTAAAACATTTGTGAGCAATGAATATTCAGAATTATGCCAAGGCATAATTCTGTATCATTTCCTCTAAATTATATGCAGCATACGGCATACCTATCAATATGAACTCAAAAAATTAGCTTTACTGGACTAAGTATTTATTCTCCAACCTTCTATAAACCTGAGCATAGGCTGTTAAATAGATAACTAATCCAAGGGGTGATAAGCTGGGTGTATGTAAATACTATCCACAAAATCCCAGGTAAAAATTATAATGGCTGAAATCCTGTTGGTTAGCATCATAAGTTGCAACTAGAGCAGGCCAGTTTGAATCCATGGAACTTCTGCATGTAGGGGTTGACTCACCAAATCCATACTGATTCAATGGACCTATTCCAGTTACAACGTACTGCACTAAGCAACAGGATTTCAGATAATGTGTCACTTCATAATGTGGGAAGATGTATAAATAGAATCCTTAATTCTTGTTCCTCAACATATTTTTCTACAGAGGAAAGGGGTGAAAGAAAGTAAGGAAAAGAGAAAAGAAATGTCAATTTTTCCTCAACATTTTAGACATGACATTTCTTTTTCCTCTCTGTTTCAGGGTGAACCGGGCCCAATTATTCCTGGAGAGCAAGGTAGACTGGGTTCTCCAGGAGATGGGGGCATGCCTGGTGAGAAGGGTGAAAGAGGATTTCCAGGTCTTGCAGGACTTCCAGGTCAACAAGGTCAAAGTGGTCCTGATGGACCAAGAGGTAGAACTTCCCAATGTGGATTCTATGAAGTAGGAGCCTATCAAAGCTATATCCACTGCTCACTACATTTTGAGTAAAATGCCTCTGAAACATATTTTTTGCTGCCCATCACCCCAAATGATTGCTTCTTTAATAGTAGTTTCATTCAAGCTGAATGATGACAGGTTCAAGACACATAAATGGAAAATACTGCTTCATGTAACGTGTAGCTAAAACATAGAAATTGCTTCACAAGATGTTATTATAGCCATTGACCTAGAAGGTTATAAAAGGAAATTTGACAAATTAATGTAAGACAAATATACCAATGGCTATTTATAATATTTCTATTTACCACGTCACTGTATCTTTGAATCCACTACTAGGAAACAGAAGATGAGCGTGCTGCTCTCATGCCATTTGAAGGTTCATTGTAGGAATTTGGTTGACTATTGTGAGAACAGAATCATGAACTGTTTAGGCCTTTGGTCTGCTCTGAAACCACTGTGTGATATTTAAATGTCCTTCGCCAGTGGAGGCCACTCAATAACAGGTTTTACCTTCCCACTTCACAGCTGATTGATTGGGTAAAATTTGTAGTGCATGTGTGGGTAAGAGAGAGAGACTGAGAGAGAAAGAGAGAGAGAGAGAGAAGAAATGTTGCCTACTTTTCCATTATTCTAAGATTCATATGATCAATATTGTCTTCTAGGAGAACCTGGCTTTCCTGGAGAACCAGGAGAAATGGGTGTTCCAGGCAAAATGGGTGATTGTCTTGTTGGCTTACCAGGACCTCCAGGTCCATGTGGAATAATAGGCCCACCAGGTAAGTCCAGTACAAAATTCCAAAGTCTGTACAGTATGCAAAATGCATGGCAAACAAGATGGGATAGCACAAGTGAATGTTGTTACTGTAAGCAATTCTGTCATGTTCACATAATCAAAAATCAATTATTTGTACTAGTACAACAAGCTGACCACAAATATGAACCCAAACATGTGAATACTGAGATGAACAAATAGCACAAAACATAGCTGGACCAATCAACAACAATGTTGTTCCTCACAATGGCCATGCAATACACTGACAAAATCAAACACCGGGACAGACCCTGCTCACCCCATATATGCTCAGATCTTACAGAGAATGGTACTGAGAAAGGACAATGACTGTGAAGCATGCATGAACTGAATTAAGGGCTGACCCAAAAGCTTATTTGACTGTCAAGATATGAAATTGTAAATGAATAAAGTGCTAAAATAATTAAGGGAGTATAGAAAAAGCAATCTTGGAAATGTACATTGCATTTTAAAAATGAGGTCTGAACAGCAGTTTATTAAAAGTGATTGCAAAATAACTAGCTAGGTCCAGCTGAGTCTGGAAGCAAGGTCATTATATGATAACACGTCTTTGCAAAGATGTTTCTTCCATGACTGGCAGCTGTGGGGGAGAATTGAAATTCCAAAATAATGGGTAAAATGTTGCAGTGTGTAGCATGACCAGAGATGACATTTGCAGAACCTGTAACTTCTTGTCCTTGTTATGTACCAGTGTTTGGCTCTTTCTGTGGGTTGCTATTATGGAAATTGCAGACAGCGGGCACACCGCTGGGTTCTAATCCTCTTAGGCAAAATATTTGTGCATATCGTCATAATGGCAGCTTGTCAGATTTTGAGTTAAAGGCATTTTATGTGACAGAAAGAAATGGAAATTCCTATTTAAAAAATTATGGTGGTCCATCAAGTCATTGCAAGTCAATGAAAAAAGAACGTTTACAGTTTGAAGGGGAATTTCTGAGAGAAATAAAAATATAGGGAGGCAGGAGACACACAGATCAACTCATCATCGCATATGAAACCACACCTCATCACGTACACCGGATAACAATGATTGTGTTGCAATAGTAGCAACAACAGCAGCAGATGAGAACATCATGGATTTTCCTCCGTATATCCAATTGCTGAGTAAGCAATTAGAATATTTTTCTGTAAGTGTTAATATGCTTAAACGTTAAGAAAGTCATTTTCTTTGATATATTTTTAGTTTTAAGAACTTTGGTATTTTAGTGATGTATTGTCTGCTTTTTCAATGTGTCTTTTAGGCTGTACACTCTTGTGTTTTAGAATGTGATTAAAACATTATTATTGATATTTTATTGTACTTCTTATGATCCTGTATTTTGGATTGAATTCTGACTTAAGTATTTGCCTGCAACTAAAGTTTAGTTTAGTTTTCATATAGTATATATTTTGGCTTTTGTGCCTATAGGTGTTCCATCTTTTAGATGTTTTCAATATTTGAAATATTTTTGTGCTTATGGAGTGCAGAAGCAATATAGATAAATAAAGCTTGTAGAATTAGCCAAGCTGATGTTGCCTGGAATTAATGCAAGAATGATTGCAAAAGACTTATATGTATTCTCGAAGGCTTTCACGGCCAGGATCCAATGGTTGTTGTAGGTTTTTCGGGCTCTTTGGCCGTGTTCTGAAGGTTGTTCTTCCTATCATTTCGCCAGTCTCTGTGGCCGGCATCTTCAGAGGACAGGAGTTAGAACTCTGTCTGTGTTCTGGTGTAGTGTGTGGGATAGCTGATTCTTTGGAGCTGTGGGATCAGCTTTTTGTCCTTTTCAGGAGATTGGGCGATCAGGGTGTTTTTTGTTATGGGTGCATTGTTGTGATAAGGGGGAGATGATCTGTCACTGTGATTGTCACTGTGATTGATGGGTGTCATTATCTAGTCTTTTGTGTGCAGTGATCACCGATCCTTGTTGCTGGGTAGAGTTCGTTAATCTTTTAACAGGCTGTATTTTTTAATCCTGGGAGCCAGGCTTTGTTGAGTTTTAGACTTTCTTCTTTTTTGTTGAAGCTGTGTTGATGTTTTTGGGTTTCAATGGCTTCCCTATGTAGTCTAATATAATGATTGCTGGTGTTTCCAGTACTTCTGTCTTTTGAAATAGGACTTAATGTCCAGCTTGTTTCAGGGCATGTTCAGCTACTGCCAATTTTTCAACCAGAAAAATCGCCAGTAGCTGAACATGCCCTGAAACAAGCTGGATTGCACACCATAATCTTCTAATCTCCTGAAAAGGACAAAAAGCTGATCCCACACCTACAAATACTCAACTATCCCACACAGTACACCAGAACACAGAGTTCTGACTCCTGTCCTCTGAAGATGCCAGCCACAGAGACTGGCAAAATATTAGGAAGAAAAACCTCCAGAACACGGTCAAACAGCCCGAAAAACCTACAACAACCAAAAGACTTATACTTTGATACTCAGGTGAATTTTCGTGCTAATACGGGCCTTTTGGCTTTCTGTTATCTTAGGAGTCCAAGGAAGATTAGGACCCAAAGGAGATCCAGGTATTCCAGGATTAGACATTCCTGGGTTCCCAGGACAATCTGGGCTTCCTGGAATTCCTGGCCAACAAGGAGGTGATGGATTGCCTGGCATCAAGGGACAGCCTGGCAGGCTAGGTGTGCCAGGTATACCAGGTAAGTGCTCCTTGAAGAAAAGAGGACATGAGCACATTAGGAATACCGATTATTTCCCATTTATTTACCTGTTGATGCAATCACTATGACTAAAAAGTAAGCTTACTGAATTATAGTAAGCCTATGTGTCAATTGTGGTGAAACAGAGTGGCTTCTCATTTTAAAATTAAGGTCACATGCGGCCTGCTACATAGGCAATGGGGAGTGCACACCCTTTGAATATCTTGATTGTTACAAGTTACTTTCTGCAGGTCCAAGAGGAGAACTAGGATTGATGGGTCCTGTAGGTACTCCTGGACTACCTGGGGTCTTTGGAAATCCGGGTATACCTGGAAGTAGGGGTAAGTTATATAGTACCTACCTTATCTGTCCATTGCTTATCCAATCTGATGGTGAGGGTAAATTTCTTCTCTGTGTGGACTAGTTCTGTAGGTTCTGGTTCTCAAAATCTAAAGCGGACCTTTCCATGGAGAATCATGTGCAGTGGACCCTCTACTTACGGAATTAATCCGTACTGGAACGGTGGCTGCAGGTGGAAAATCTGTAGGTCGAGTCTCCATTGACCTACAATGCACTGAAAACCAATTAATCTGTAACCGGCCATTTTTGTTCCATTTTTGTTTTTTTCTGGTCTGTAGGTCAATTCTCTGGCTGCAAGTCGAATCTAAATTTTGCAGCCAGAGAAGTCTGTAACTCAAAAAGTCTGTAAGTCAAGCCGTCTGTAAGTCGAGGGTCCGCTGTAATTTATTTTTAATTCTGTGATGCAGTTTCTTAAATATGTGATGGTACTGATTCTTGATGAAAAACATTTTGAGCAATCTAGAATGGAAGTATCAATTTATTGGGAAAGTGGTAAACTAGGGACCCCATTAGGTAATAATAAGAGATGGTGTGCCTGTCAGGTTACGTTGTCCGAGGAGACTGAGGAAAGTAGAGTGGCACCTTATTTTTCTCATGTGATATTTCTCTTCCTGTACCCCTTTACCTTTATCCTGTAAGTCCCTTTGGCCTGACTACATTCCTTTCTTAGTTAAAAGACAGAAAGAAGTAACAACGTCTACCATTAGATTATGTTTTCTTTTCTAATGGTGTACTGTTTTTCCCAACATCAGACCCTAATGTTGGGAAAATGTGAGGGCAAGAGGAGAAGGGGACGACAGAGGACGAGATGGATGGACAGTGTCATTGAAGCTACCAGCATGAATTTGACCCAACTCTGGGAGGCAGTGAAAGACAGGAGGGCCTGGTGTGCTCTGGTCCATGGGGTCACAGAGAGTCAGACACAACTTAACGATTAAACAAACAACAACTGTTTTTTTAACCCAAACTAGCTTCAAACCAACTTAATTGTCATGGCTTATCCTAAAAGAACCCAGGGTGCTGACGTTTTTGTATCAGTTAATAGAACTACAAATTTATCATCATTCTTTGCACAAACAGGATCTAGTGGATTATGTTTTGCTTTCCTGTTCATTTAATTCCCCACTTGGTTGCTTTTCCTTGAGCCTTCCAGTGTTCAGGGAGAACACAATACAAGCCCTCCTCCATGCCAAAGCAAACAGAGAGAAAAAAAATCATAGATCCTATTCCTTAGTTAGAGAGGATTATGAAAATATGTCTTTTGCATATGGTTTGCTTTGGGCTGTAAATTGAGGATGGTCAAGTTAGTACACCACAGAGGTACCAGAGAATTGGAGGAGGACCAATGTCGTTCCTATCTTCAAAAAAGGCGAAAAGAGGAACCTGGGAACTACAGGCCAGTCAGCCTGACATCAATCCCAGGCAAAATTCTGGAACATCATAAAGCGGTCATGGTGCAAGCACCTAGGAAACAATGCGGTAATAACTAGAAGCCAACATGGATTTATCAAGAACAAATCCTGCCAAATTAATTTGATCTTGTTTTTGATCAGGTCACCTCCCAGATAGACAGAAGGAATGCTTTAGACGTAGTATATCTTGACTTCAGCAAAGTTTTTGACAAAGTGCCCCATGATATCCTGATTAGCAAGCAAGTTCCTCATGTTCTTCCAGAGTAGCAAACAAACAAACAAACAAACAAACAATCTTTAAAAGAATAGGAAACTATTTCTACTGTTGTTCTGCCTTTGAATTCATGAACCTTTGGAAAAATGTTGCTTTCCCTTTATATATCTTAGCTCCTGATTGCATTGCTTAATTTTATTTTGCTTTTTTTTTTAAATTGTAGGTGCTCCTGGCTTTCCAGGGCCAAAAGGAAGAAAAGGATCTTTGGGAGAAAAAGGTGAGCCAGGTAATAAAGGTTCTCCTGGCATCTCAGAGTCCAGAGTGATTTCTGGAGATAAAGGAGAAAAAGGAGCTAAAGGTATGTAGCAATTACTACTACTAAAATCAGCATAGTTCTTTCTCTGAAAATATGAGATTACTCTTTCAAATAAGTCCAGAAATAAAATGTGGAATGATCATTACCAGAACTTAGAAAGTTAATTTAAGAAATAATCAGTTACAGTTGTTGGACCAAGCTACAGTTACCTGCAGTCGTCATGACTGGCTTTGAAAGAACCACTTTAATTCTTGTTTCTCAAAAGTAACTGAAGTAAGTACTTTTAGTAAGTCTAGAGGCTAAAAGCTAATGGCCTGTGGTACAAAGTGCCTTTTCGTCCCATCTGCTTTGGTGTCACTTCAACACTTGTGGGAGATCATGAGGCAAACCACAATCCATAACTTGAACCACTTGATATTTATTCTTCAGTATTTAGTGAGGCTGTATCCCTAACAAGTACAAAAGCAACTTTAAATGTTGAATTATGCCACAAAGGACATAACAGTTATTCCTTGTCAAGTTACCCTTGCAGTGTAATATAGTATAGTTGTACCTCCATTAATGGAGAGGGACTTAAACATTGTTAACTTGTTATTTGAAAGTGATTGGCCAAAATCCACTTGCATAACTATGGCAGCATAATTCTGATGGCTGTTTTGATGGCAAGTCACCTCAAATTCAGAAATCTTCATAGGCATGATCTGTTGTGTACTGAGTTGCAAAAGTCAGCGTGCACGCTTAGCATTACACCAGCTTTAACTAACCAAGAGGAGTTTGGCCGTAATTTCTAATGTCTGCTTAGTCCCTGTATAAATGTCTGCATATTCAAACAGTTCATACTCACATTTCTCCTGGATTTTAAGGAAAGAATTACATGTGAGGCTTTCCTTATGTGCCTTCGAAGCCTGGCTGTTATTTCTCCTTTGAAAAATGGGATCAGGAGGATACAGTTTTCAGAACAAGTGCTCAAACCTTTTCTTCAACTCCTAGTGGCAGCAGCAATTGTTATCCTAGTCCAGGTTTCAAATTTCTAACTGGAAAAGGAAAATTTCCATCTGAAAAAAAGAAAAAAATAATAATGGATGAAGGGAAGATGATGTGCCACTTCCCTGTTGGAAGATGCACCCTTCTGGACCCAACTTTGAAGTCATACTTTGAAGACATGTGATAGAGAAATTCTTATGCGTTTCATGATAACCAAAGAAAATGTTCACCTGTGCTTGCACTCAGACATTATCTAAAATGCAAATATTTGCATGAATGAATGAATGGAATAATAATCCATACAAAAATCCATACAAAAATTATGATTGCTTATTATTTGAAGACAGAGTGGGTTTGGTTCTTGTTTTCATTATAATTCATGCCCTTGCTGCTATAGGATTTCAAGGAAGAATGGGACTTAGAGGAGAAAAAGGAGAGCAAGGTGCACAAGGATGTGTAGGCTTTAATGGACTACCAGGAACACCAGGTCCACCAGGTATTTAGTCTTTCTTTTTTAAGATCATAAACTATATGAGCTACATAGAGAAGAATCCTGAATTATATTCAAGTGTCCTAATAATCTGCATCACTAAGACAAAAACTAGTGTACTGAGTAAAAAAAAAGGCTTAACACAATGCAGCCATAATAATCCACAGTTGTGCCCTTTCCCATGTTTGTATTAAAAATCATCATCTTTATGGATACAGTTATAGATGCTTCTCATAATATATTCTGTTTAACATGGCAAAAAATATACAAGGACTGTTAGTTTGTGTGTAAGGTTTGGCTAATGCTCTGTGTGTGTGTGTGTGTGTGTGTGTGTGTGTGTGTGTGTGCGAGAGAGAGAGAGAACATATTACGCATATGCCTATTTGTTGGATATCATGGCATTACGTAAGGCAACTTCAGCTGGCATTCACACTTGCCAACGTTCTGAGTGTTGTGAATGTGGAAGTAGCAGATGCATTAGATGTCAAGGAAGAGGTAGCAAACTACAGAGAAAGATTATTTTTTCTTTTTAACACTTTAAAGAATAGGGGTGATTAGAATACCATAGCCAATTGCATAATAAATGTTCCAGCTAATCCTAAAGTGCAGCAAAAAAAAAAGTGTGCTGTTAAACCTGACAATAATTACAGGTTCCAAAGGAGATAAAGGACTTCCAGGAATTCGTGGGAGACAGGGATTTCCTGGAGATCAAGGAGACAGAGGAAACATGGGCGTACCAGGTGATTTCACTGAAGTATCTGAGTAGTCACTAAGGATAGTCAGTTAAGGGTATTGTGGTATAATAGCTACCCGAATAACAAATAGCCTGAATGCATGATTAGTATGACAATAAGAACTGAAATACAATAAATATTGTATACTGATTATTTATGCCATTAAACAGTGCAGCATGTAAACTGTAGATAGGCCAAAACACAGGTCACAGATATATTACTCTCTGCTATACAGAGTAACTAGCAACCTTTCATTACTAAGAAAAGGGTTTAAAAATTCTAAACCATGCTGCAAGAATGCTTGAGTCAGCAGCCTCAAGAGAACTGACATCAACTCTCCCGACATGCACTCTACATGAAAGGGTTGTGCTAATTTCACTGAAGTGGGATTTTCTCCACAAAACCTGGAGTATGTTTGTTTCTTATTAAACCAATAAAAGTTATTGCCCACTCTTACATTTGTATAATTTTGGAGACTGCACAGCCATTTCCTTGTTCTCTCTGTTATGCTGTTATTTGGTTTCTTTCTGTGGTGCTTTTGGAGAGATTCTTGATTAAAGAGTGAATAGAATATTTTCTTAACGTGTATTAAATTGATGGACTGCAGCAGAAAGACGTTGATGTATTTGGTGGATGGCTGCTAATGGTTGGGCCATTACAGGAACAGGAAGAGATCTGCTCAGAAAATCAGTATTTGTGAATTCATAGTTCACCAGGCAGAGCATATTTCTGCATTTATATTAGTATCAATTTGGGACATGGTTTGTTTTTATTTGGTAGCACATGTAAATAATGGGGAAAGGGGAATCTTACTCTGTTCAATAAATACATGATTTGGTCTTCGCTTTGGTAGTGATGATCATTTTTCTTTTTTTAAAGTTTCCACATAAAATATTCAATTTAAGAGTAATGTTTGTATCACTTCAGGTGCTAAAGGTGAGCAAGGTTCAGTAGGTTTTCCTGGAACATCAGGCACACCAGGACTACCTGGCTTACCTGGTAGACCGGGGGATAAAGGAGAACCAGCCTCTCCCGGAACTGGGCCTACAGGAAATCCAGGATCCAAGGTAGAGAAAGCTGACAATAGATTCAAACACAGCTTTCAATAGGTTGGTTTCTTAATCATTATGATGTTGTCTTTGGCTGATCTTGTTAGGGAGAACCAGGTCTACCAGGAGAGAGAGGAAGAAAAGGTGAACAAGGATCACCAGGCCAGCCAGGGCTTGTTGGAGAACCTGGACTATTGGGAAACAGAGGAGACACTGGTCAATCAGGAATTCCAGGTGCGGTATGGCTTACAGTCAAAATATTACGCACGAAGTGCTAGAGAAGTGGAGAATTTCTTACTGCACTAGAAATTCACCAAAATTAACATGTTCTTGTACAAGAGAGACCAGCTAATATGGACCTTTTGTGCTGCCATCACTTTTGCATAGTTTCTTTTCAAGCTGGATTTGCCATGTGAACTAATAGCAACCATCTTAGGAACCAAAACAGTCCCCATATGATATGTGTCTCATGGTTATTGATTCTCCACGTGATAGGACCCTAACAGAAGTTTGTGTGTGTATGTGTGTATGTGCGAGTGTGAGGAATGCATCTCTTTAGAGAATTCATCCTACTAGGGGAAGGAGCCAAACTATAGTTCCCAACTTCCACCATCTTTTCTCTAGATTGTGTGAGACTTAGAAGGTGCATGAGTGGACAACTATGGGCAAGCTTCTGTCCCTAGATTTCCAATTACTCACTTATTTAAGCTTAAAACTTTTTAGCTATGTACTTTAAAACCTTACACACCAGCCTTACCAGGTGGGACACCCAAATAACAAAAATAAATTAGCAAACATAGCCCTTGTGACTAAGGCACTTTCTTTAGGCACTCTCACCCTTGCTCCCAAGAATCACACTTAGGTAAAATATAAAATATTTATTCAAAAAGAGTAAAAAGTTAGAAAACTAAAGAAATACATAAAGATACTGGTAAAATACCAAGCATCTAAGTAGTAAGTAAGCTTCTGTAAGACTTTTCCGTAAAACAATAAAATTATTAAATAGCCAGTAGTTTTAGTACTTAATGACAAGGCCATTCTAAGTCACTAATGTTAAAATCTCCCAACCTGTCATGCATCTTCTCTCCTCCAACTTACACACACACCCCTACTTAAACCCCCCCTTTCTATAACTTAAAGTATCTGCTTCATGATTGCATACAGTCCTTTGTTCACAAGTCCACACTCAACTTGTAACTTTCCACAGCTCTGTCTCTCGTTCCTAGGCTGGTAGGCCATTGGCAAGGAATGGTATGTTTATCAGTCTTGAGATGTGGTCTTGGTTATTCTTCCACAACAGCTAGGTCTCTGGCCAAGACAAAACACCTGCAAGTCCTGGGAAACAAGTACTACAAAACTAATATCTTCCCAGTGTGTTCTGTACCATCAAATCAGAATTAATTCATAGCGACCCTAATTGGTCTTTCAAGGCATGTGAGATCTTTAAGTAGTGGTTTTACCAGTTCCACTCCCTCAGTGAGTTTCTAAGGCCAAGTGGGAATTTGAACCCTGTTATGCAGAGTCCTAGTCTGTCGCTCTGTCCCTACACCACACTGGGAATCCAACAAGAGCATTATAATGCTATATAAACAATGTTATTTTCAAATCTGTTATTTTCTTCTAGCTTCCTGTATGTCCATGGACGCCTCCTGGGGCATTTTAATATAGAGCTGATCTAGATCCAGCTGATTGCACGATTTAACATCAAATCAGAAGGACAGGAGTAATCAGTGAATGAAAGGAATAAGAAAGCTGTTCATGGATTTTTGCAGTGGTCTAGAATAATTGTGTTGACATTGATAATTTCATGGAAACATTTGTTTCCTGTTTAAAGACTTGGAAATCAGCACAAAGAATACATGCATGGGAGTAATATAAATGAATGCATTTTCCATAAAGGAAAAGGAAGTCAATGGAGCAGTTTCCTCTCTTTTCTACTAAATATTAAAAAAAATTCTGTAAAGAACAAAAATTCAGAGATGATTAATAACTGTTATTCTAACTTCACTATAAAATGGCTGCTTCTTGTTGTTGTTTTACAGGACAATCAGGACCTGCAGGTTTAAAGGGTCGCAAAGGCAGTAAAGGATTACCAGGGCAAAATGGCCTCAGAGGTTTTCCAGGTCTGTGATTTCTTATTTTGAAGTTTCTTTTTTATTTCATTCTGCTCTGTTTTACTCATATAATATGAAATGAATATAACAATGGAATAAAAAAATATGAAAATAGAGATTCTATCTTTTCCAGTGTTGGTGAGCAGATTGAAGATATTTGAATATGAATCTGTATGTCATCCATTCTAATCTCTTTCGCTGTGACTTCTTACAGAATTGACATATTTTATTTACAGAACTGGCTCTTGTAATCTAACCACCACCACCACTACATTCATGTATCAAGCTATTTCTCTTCCCCTAACTTTCTTTTCCTCTTATCTTGCCAACACATACAAAACTAGAGAAACAGTAAAAATAATGGTTTTGTACTGCTATTCACACCTGGCAGACTATGTTTGGCAGAGTGGACCATAACCTATGTAGTTTCACTCTAGAGAAATCCATTTCAGGCAGGGTTGCAGCATTTATGGCTCCCTCGCTGTTGTTGAATTCCAGTTCCCCTAAACCTAACCAGCCTTGCAGCAGTGAGGTTTGATGCGAACAAGTCATTCATCAAAATCTAAGGAATCGAAGGTTCCTCATCCCTGGTTAGAAAAAGTCTCTGGGTATTGGGACCATTGTCATTGACTGGCTGTGGTGAGTGGTTAGTCACTGAAACC